GCTCAGGTCATGGTCCCAGGGTCCTGGGATCGAGCCCCACATCAGGCTCTCTGCTCAGTGGGGAGCCTACTTTCCTGCCTCTCTGCCAACTTGTGATCTCTGTCTGTCAAATAAATAAAATAAAAATCTTAAAAAAAAAAGAACTGTTCTAAAGAAAGATTGCTGATAAACAATCTTATATATGACTACATTTAATTATCAACTTTCACTAGAAACAACCGATAATTTTTTAATAATTGGAATTAATAGCGCTTATTTCTTCAATTTTAATAATTCGATTCTATATTAAAATCAAAACTCTGTCTAGTTTATTCCACAAAAGTCCTTTGTAATTATCCATCCACTTCAAAGTCTTTCAGCGTACAGGCTGCTTTATTTTTCTCTTACCTCCATTTCTGTAGATCAGAGCTTTCCAAATGGAATTACAGATGTCCCTCAAGATATTTGTCTTCTCAACCATTGGAAAGTCCAGGCAAATAGCTTTATCCTGGGCTCCTGAGTAAAAGACCCAACTAGATTGGCATTTAGGCAATCATGATTATCACTCATTGGTCTGGCCTCAGGGCAGTGAGCTCAACCTAGCTGAGTGTCTATGGCCTTGGTAACTACTTCAGCAACTTGCTGTGAGCATGTCCCTTTTCATCACGAGAAAGGAATCTATGGATTTGCTAAAGGAGTTCATGTTCAAAGTGCTTAATTAGCATAACATGCCTACCAAAATTTGGCCATAGGAGAATAGATAATGAGAAAAAGTCAAGAGCTCCTGGTAGGTGTATCTTTAGGTATCTTCCCATACGTTAAATACTTTTACCCATTTGTGGCAATGTTGATGCATGATAGCATCTTTAAAGGCCATGTATTTCCTAATTTAGAATTTCAATATTATTTTGTAATACTTGACATATAAAATTTAGGCAAATTTTAAATATCCAGAATCCCCATGAAATTCCAATGGTAAATTTGGAGAGGAAATAAAAGAATTGCTATATTTAAAATCAAATGTTGAAAAATTTTTAGTGGTTGTGAAAGTTGTTTCAAAATTTTTATTCCCTATTTGTACAAATACAATTTCTTGTTGACAGCAGCTATAAACAAATTTGAAAAGATCATTGATAAAGTGTCTTGATTAGAAGTTATATATAAACTTTCAAACATAAAAACTGAGACAAAAAGTTATATTGATGGAAGTATATTCATATTTCTAAATTTAAGGTTATCTACATTCATTTTTATATCTTTCCTTAAACATCCCATTTTATTTCCTTAACAAAATTGTATCACTGGAAGGTAATGTAATGAATCATTACATTATTATTATTCTACAGAATCCCATACATATACCTCCAAATCTCCTCTAGTTTACTCCAGTTTGTCATACAAATATTGTTATTTTCTATATTGGGAAACACTGAAATAAGTAGATTTAGTTCTATAACATGTTCTTTTACCAAATATCTTTTACTTAATTTATAGGCTAATTAATTATAAACTTGTCATAATATACAGTTAGTGTTACTCAAAGGAAACAAGTAAGTATATATAACAACTAGATAAATGTTAAACCTAAGTTATTTCCTTGCTCCTCCTGTGCTGCTTGAAACGGAATTGGGATATTGTTCAGAGGGCTAGCAATGTTCTTTTTCTTGACCTGGATGGTTACACAGTGTTCACTTTGTGATAAATCATTGCACACATTGTTTTGTGCCCTTTAGTGTACATATTTTATTTCATAGTAACAAAAGTTTAAAAAAAATTTTTTTTAAGATTATTTATTTATTTATTTGACAGAGAGAGATCGCAAGTAGGCAGAGAGGCAGGCAGAGAGATGGTGGGGAAGCAGGTTCCCTGCTGAGCAGAAAGCCCGAGGTGGGGCTCGTCCCAGGACCCTGAGATCATGACCTGAGCCGAAGGCAGAGGCTTAAACCACTGAGCCACCCAGGCGCCCCAAAATTCTCGTTTTCTAATACTAAAAAGATATGGTGATTATAGATCTCTGAGTATATTCTTACTTCCTGTTTATACTAGCCTTGGTTTTATTACTCTCCAAGAAAATTTAATAAATGATTAACCTTATCACTTGGCAGTTGGAAGCAGTCATGAAAGGCATAACACTCACTTGATAATTCATAATAGAAACAGAATTTTCTTCAGTTTATGAATCATCCTGTTTTCTATATAAATTAATCAGATCACTCCAGCACTATTCAAACCAACTTAAAGGTGATAATTGGCTCTTTTAATTCATGGTACAAAATACAACACTGATGGGCCTGGAGGTTATTACTATGATGCACATAGTAGAATAGGGCTAGCCCTTGATATGACAAAGATGAATTCTATATCTATTTGCATCTTCAGATTTGGCAAACATTCGTTTCTTCTGTATCCCAGAAACTGTGGCAAATAAAGTCCATAAGATAAATTGAGACAATTTCAAAATAAATTACTGAGATTATATATATTGTTTGGATGAGAATATTCTGCTTTTGCTGTGAAAATTTAGTTTAACCTATTAGGCATATCAGTCAAATGTTTACTCCAGGTTTGTATAGTGCTCCGTTTGACACAAATGCCTCATTAATGAGACACTCATTGCCAACACTCTGCAAACTGATTTACTTGAACAATAATAAGAAAGGGCAAATATATTCTTGTTCTAGCCATACTTACATTTATTAAATATGTGCCAGGAGTTTCTTTTGTCTTGCTAGCACACAGTTAGCATTTGTCTGCTGTGAGAATGAAACACCCTAGAGAACTTGAGGCCACAACTCAGGCTGAGACACGAAAGGGAATAAACGAAAGTTCATCCAGCCATCAACACTCACACATGTGAATTTACAGAGCAGACAGAAGAGCCGTTAATCTCAGCCCATTCCACAACATCTCATGGATCATGTGGCTTATTAACATTGACATTTGTTTTTGTTAAGAAGATTCATGTTTCGGGGTGCCTGGGTGGCTCAGTGGGTTGAAGCCTCTGCCTTTGGCTCGGGTCATGATCCCAGGGTCCTGCGATAGAGCCCTGAATCGGGCTTTCTGCTCAGGGGGGAGCCTGCTTCCCTTCCTCTCTCTCTGCCTGTCTCTGCCTACTTGTGATCTCTGTCAAATAAATAAATAAGATCTTTAAAAAAAGAAGATTCATGTTTAAAGAAATTATCAATCTAGTCTACATTCCTGCAAACATGAAAGCAAATGAAGAATTAGCACTACTCAGTCTCCTCCTCCACCAAGTCTTATTTGCTTCCTGTATAGTATATCTCTCGCTTCCTTTCTCCTCAATCTCATATGCCTTCTTTTCCAATCTTAGCCTCCTTCTTCTTTCTCTATAATAGTCTGCGCCCCCCGGTGGTTTGAAGTTTAAAAAAAAAAAAAAAAAAAGAGAAGGACGGAAGGAAGGAAGGATGGAAGGAAGAGGGAAAAAGAAGAAAGAAAAGAGAAGAGAAGAAAAATCTTTCACAGACAAGACTTTTAAGCCTCCGCAATTTCACTTTTGGGATGAGTCCAACACGCTTCTCGGAGCTCGACGCCAGTAGTCACGATCAGGAACGTAACCGCAGTTTCTCCCTGCAGTCAATTTCCTCCCTCCGTCCCCCCCCCCATTTTTTTAAAGTGGGGAAAGACACAGATCAAATGAGAACAGCTCGGTTAGCTGCAAAAAGAGAACAGTTTCTGAGACTCAAACGGAAGGGCAGCTCTGGCCGCCGCCGCGTGTGGCGCTGTCCATTCTTTGGTGCTGAATACTATACACTGGGGCTTTTCCAGCCAGGTTCAACTCTTGAGGATCCTGATAGCCTCAGTCAGCCAAGGTAGACTGAGTCCATTTTTGGGTCTGTGTGGGGGTGGGTGGGAGGTGCGGGAGGGGGGCATTTAGACTTTTTGCTAATTCTATTCCCACGGGGGGAAAAACATTCTTCCACAGAGTGACACTGTGCATTTTATGGAAAAGTAATGGTACAGCTTCAGCTCAAAACCCAAGAGAGGAGCTCTACTGAATTAAAAAATGTGAAGTTCAGAATTAATAAAAGCCACTCTTTTTCTCCCTGATCTAACACAAGTGTGTTTGGGTCCCAAGACCCCCTTGTTGATGGTTAAAGAAAGTAATTTTCTTTTAAAAAATTCATGTGATTGGGGCGGCTCGGTCACTGGCTCAGTCGTTAAGTGTCTGCCTTGGACTCAGGTCATGATCCTGGGGTCCTGGGATGGAGCCCTGCGTTGGGGTCCCTGCTCCATGGGAAGACTGTTTCTCCCTCTCCCACTCCCTGTGCTTGTGTTCCCTCTCTCAGGCACTCTCTCCCTCTCTGTCAAATAAATAAATAAAATCTTAAAAAAATTAAAAAAATTAAAAAATGATTAATCATTTTTCAGATAAGCACAGTAAGGGGGTGACACTAGGCTTTACAATATCTAGAATAAAATTTTAGATATTGTTTTACTAAGTTGAGAGACACGAGGAACTAAACTTGTTTCTTTAAGGCGGTTTCAATGTTAGTTGAGAATACATTTTTTTAAAGTATCGCTTTAACAATGTCTTCCAGATGAGCTTATTTTCTTAGGCAATTTAGATCAGAATCTGGGCAATAGACGCTTCTCTCCTCTCTGCTCAGCCTCTGTCCGATTTCAGACTTAAGACCCCTGTTCTTCACAGCAGGTGCTCATCTCCACAGGGCTCTTATAAAAATTCATCCCCTTCCCTCCCTCCAAACAATGAGATAATTAAGTAAATGAAAAGAATGTGGGCAGGAATGCAGCAAAGTGTGTGGTAACTCCCAGCCTTCAGTTCTTGGTAGTAATATTCAAATAGGGGCACTTCTCTTTGAGAAGTGAAGGTGTTTCTCATGGCTACAGAATTTACAGTCAGTCAGGGAGCAGACTTAACTGATCCCAGCAATCGATTCCTTCCTTTCCTTAATCCTTCCCTGCTTATTTTAGCCGCTTCTCCACCCCGCCGGGAATACCATCCAGATCTTAGTCCAGGTAGATCTGACGTCAAGAGATGGCTTTCGTCGATTTGACGTGTAAACACTCATTTCCATTCCGGCTTGGAAGGGCTGGGGCTCCACTCAGCCGGGAGACCAAAGAGCGCTCGCCACCGCCCAGCCTCTCCTCGCGCGCCTCCTATCTCAGCAGAGCCACGGGGAGCGAGAAGTGGTCCAGAGTCCGTGGGAGAAAAGGGCTAGTGTTTCTGGCTTTTCTCCTTTCTTGCATCTTTTTTTGCTTCTTTCCCCCATCTCCTTCCGACTTGTGTGCAAGCGAGTGTGTGAGCCATGGAGCGAAGAGGCTGGACTCTGCAGTGTACTGCTTTCGCTCTCTTTTGCGCTTGGTGTGCACTGAACAGTGTAAAAGCGAAGAGGCAATTTGTGAATGAATGGGCTGCAGAAATCCCCGGGGGACCGGAGGCAGCTTCGGCCATAGCGGAGGAGCTGGGCTATGACCTTTTGGGTCAGGTAAGAGTTTACACTTTACAGAAACTTTCTGGGGCCCACGGGGACTGGAGGGATTGACGCGCGATCTCCCAAGTGGGAGCCCCAGGTCGCACTCTCCTAAGCCCAGTGGCAACGAGCAGAAGCTTCTGCAGCTCTTGCTCCTGGCGCGCTTGGAGAAAGAAGGCTTGCATTATTTATTGTTTGAGCTGGAAGCAGCCAGGCAGAACGAAGCCGCTGCAGCTGGGTAAAGCTTATTCTTGCTGTCGTCCTCTTTGGCATTTAAATCCATTCCCGCGTGGTTTGGGAGAAAAATCCCTCCCCGCTTGTTCACTGAACTTGAGATGCATGTAGGCTCTTACCAACCAAGAGCCCCCGGGAGAGGCACTGCGTTCGGTCCCCTGGGACTCAGCTGGTCTCTGCGTCAGGAGCCGGCTGTTTCCTTTTTTTTTTTTTTTTTTTTTCAATATGGCAGCATCAGATCTAAGTCCTGATGCAAGGGGTCAGAGAGGCTTGGTGATGTCCGCCCTCAGCCTTTCCGGCACGCCCAGGGCATTGGAAGAGTGCCAGAGGCCGGGCTCACGATCTAGAGGCTGGGGGCCCGCGGAGTGGCCTGGGGAGCGGGCGGGGAAGAGGTGAGCGAAAGACACGGGACAGTCCCCTCGCCTCTACCGGGACATTCGGGTCTTCACCGGGAACTTGCAAAGTCTGAGCTTCACAACTTTGCTGGGTCAGTCCCCCTGAAGGGTCAAGGGGCCGGAATGACTGTGGGGAAAGCTTTTCTTTCTATTTTGTTCTCCAGCCAAATGCCTAATAGCTTCCCCGAGGGTGTCAGCTTGTGATAAAAACTTGTCTGTGCAAGGGAGAGCTGGTTTCATAGATAGCTGGGAGGAGGGTGTTAAGGCATTACTAGAGTGACAGCTTAGGTGTGCGATTCCCGGGGGAACCCCATGGGGTGTGATTTCTAATCTAAGCTTTCATTTTCCTTGGCTCAGAATCAAGCCCTCGCCCCTCGCCTTGGAACTGTGCCTCAAAGCGGGGGAGGAGGGAGTTGTAAAACATTTTGGCGCGTTTTTTCTGGAGGTGGTTGTAGAGATGCAGCTGAAGTCACGGATGAGTAATCGGCGTGGGCGTTGGCGATTCCTTAGATCGAATCCTCTGGGGAATACGCCTCTCCTTGCCAGAGGCTTCATTCCCCAACTTGATGAACCAAATTGCCTTTAAATGCCCAGCATAAAAATCAATACGCAGTTTGACTTCTCCGTGTCCCAGGAGCCGACTAAGACTTTTTGCTTTGCCCAGATGTTGTTCTCTGCCAGGCTCCCTGTTAGGGGCTGAGGAATAATAGGAGGAAAAGAAACTTTCAAGGAATCAAGAATTTAGAGGAGATTGGTTTAGTAACAAATAATTGGAATTGCAGGTAATTGGTGTAATAGAAGTTGCACCTGGAGTCTCAATATTTGTTGATTGAGGGATTGAAGAGGGACAGGAATTGAGGAGGAGTGTAAAAAAGACAGCCCAGTGGAGGAAACATTTGTAGAGGGTTTAGGAAGAAGAGTCAAGTTGCCAGGAGAACTTGGTGAGATTGTAGAAGGCACTCAAGGCACAGAAAACAGATTGTAGGAAACAAAGAAGATACAAAGAAAGGAATTTAGAAGAAACTGCAAGGACTTGTTGGGATCTGAGCAGAGTGTGAGCAGTAGGTGGAATTGTACTGGTAGCTACTGTGGGCATCATGGAAATCTTCTGTATCCTATGGGGGAATAACTGGGGACTTAATCCTATAACCTTTGGGTAGCTAAATAGCACTGGTAACTATGTGGAAAGAGATTGGGTAAGAGAGCAAAAATATCCTTTTTTCTTTTTCTCACCTGTTAGCCCCAGGCATATTTCCAAACCTGGCCATTCATTATGGGAATTGCTTTTAAAATCACAAATCCCTTTGTGCGCCTGGATGGCTCAGTGGATTAAGCCTCTGCTTTCCACTCAGGTCATGATCTTAGGGTCCTGGGATCATGATCTCAGGGTCCTGGGATTGAGCCCCCGTACTGGGTTTTTTGCTCAGCAGGGAGTCTGCTTCCCCCTCTCTCTCTACCTGCTGCTCTGCCTACTTGTGATTTCTCTCTCTGTGTCAAAGAAATAAATAAAATCTTTTAAAAAAAATCACTAATCCCAAACCAAAAAACAATAAATCAGTTTTCCTGATAGGATCTTCAAAGAAGGGTTGGAATGGTCACAGGAAGCTTTAAGAAATAGTGGGGTGGGGGGAAAATCTATATTTACATATGATTTGCATATGCTATATTTTCTCTAGCTATTTCCAGTTAAAATGGCATTACTAACAAATATTTTAAATAATAATTCTTAGTAAAAGATTGATAGTGTTTTCTTGATTCTGTTTATTTCTCCCTTTGTTTACAGTGATTTAGCGTCACCACCCTGAGCTTCTGAAGGCCTCAGGATAAAGACAGAATTAGAGAGGTGACCAGAAGCAAAACCAATTGATAGCAGAGGAAGAGCTAAGCATTGATGACCTTTTCCCTCTCCCCAGCTCCACATATGGAAAGCCTTGAACTAGTGGAAAGTCGAATGGTCTCTACTAGTAGCTTATAAAAATTATCACCATTGAGTCAATGGCTGTATTTTATAACAATGACAAATCATTATAGCTGAATGTAACGTTGACTGCATAGAGTACCCAAAGGGTTTGCCAGCTTTCCACAAATTATTCTTCTCTGACAAGATAAATTTGATGAAGTGGATATTTTTTTAAAGAAATGTCTACCTACACAATATTGTCACACAGAAACAAATTTAGTTCCTCTGAAATCTGAAAAAGAGGTATCATTAGCCCCCAAGTATACGATGAGCCCAAGTGATAAAATTGTAAGCTCAACTTACTCAACATAGTGACAAGAGAGCAAGGGCTTCCATCGGTCTCTTCCTTATAAAGAATGGGCTTAATAAAAATTGGCTGCCTCTAAGTTACATGGGTTTCAGTCTAACAACCCATATAAATTTATTTTGGATAAAGTGGGTTTTTATTTTAATATTTTTTCTTTTATAGATTGGATCACTTGAAAATCACTATTTATTCAAACATAAAAACCATCCCCGAAGGTCTCGAAGGAGTGCCCTTCATATTACTAAGAGATTATCTGATGATGATCGTGTAAGTGTTGTGCATTTGTCTTCAAACCAATAACCTGACTTATCTGACTTATGATTTCCAGCAAGAGCAAAAAGTACTTTGCAAATATGATTATTTTTTATTGTGGTCACAACTATCTGTCTGTAGTATTTCTTGTTATTTCTATAGGATTATAATTGCACATAATAATAACTGGATTGGAGTGGATAGATTGAGTTAAATAAATTTTACATATAATATATATAAAAGTATATGTTTAAAATACTAGCTCACAAATCCAGCTGAAGAGCACAAAAATGAATACTAAAAATTAAATTGCAGCTCTATTAAAAATGCCAATACAATCAACTAACAACCTTTTATTATACACCTATTATTTATCAGCATTTTAATATCCAGTGTGAGGATGCCAAAGAAATTTACATGTGAACATTGATTTTAATAAATTTCAATATAACTGAAAACACCTTTTTCCATTTCTGTTTGGTTTGGTTATATGGGGAATTAGTATTTATGATTGAGTTTTAAATCCACATCTTTATGAGCCAAATGTTTTCATAAGTATTGTATTGTTTTGAAAGTATTGTAATGTTTGAAAGCATATGATCTCTTTTTATCCTTGTTTGTATACATATTCAATGGTGAGACAAGAGCAGGAAATGTCTTGAACGAATATAGGTAAATAGTGTGAGGACAATTTGAATGTATATCTAGTGTACCTATTAATTTTTGAAGTCTGTTTTCAAGATCAAGCAAACATATCAATAGAAATGGTGACTATATTGGGAGTATTGAAATTTGTATACACAATGTTGCCTTTTCTCAAGAAATTTATCCTGGCTGGCCTGTTTTCTGTTATCATGATTGCTGTTGCCTAGGACACTCCAGAGAATTATGGAAGCTTTGTGAGAGATAGAATACATCCTTTCAACTTGCTAGAAAGAAAATATAGGTGACAGAAAGGTGATAAAACTATTGAAAGTACATGGAATTCATAAACCCTGTGAAATAATTTGTTATTTTATTTGCTCTGAAACTGATAGAATTTTTAATTAAATTGGTAGAATTTTAAAAGCTGAAAGGAAAAATAAAAAGGCAAATTATCAGAGTAGGGAATGACTGGGCCTTGGATACCCCCAATCACACCTAGGCAAAGAACACTATATCAGGACCATGGACAGCAAACCACAACTCCTTGGCATCCATGGCTACTTTTACTCAGGTCAATAGATAGGTGAGACCAAAGCAGAGGCTCAACATTATTTGAAAAGTTTCTTGTCCACTGAAATCTTCCTTTTGCCATCCCAAAGCAGATGACTCATTGTATGGGCTGTGAAAAGTAGGACAACTTCCAAGACTCTGGGCTAGGCTTAGTCCTTGAGCAAAGCAAGAAAGAGATTTCCTTGTCTGCCTAAATGCATGCCTGACATTAATGCATAAGGAAGTCAAACTGACCTCCCTTATCATCTTCACAGAAGAAAACTGGACAGAGTGGAGAAATACCAGTTATTATTACTAAAAGTATCTCACTAAAGTGAACAAATGACCCAGTTCTATTCTTTAGAGATTTCTTTGATAGTTGATTTGGGAGCAAAAATCTCAAGTGATAATGAAGAAAGACTAAGAATTTAATCCCTAACATAACTTCATAAAAAAGGAGTCCATATAATCTTATGAAAAATTTATTTTAGAAAACTTTATTTTTCTAAACTTTATTTTTATTTTGTTTTAGAAAACATCCTAGAACCCATAGAAGGTAGCAGTGGGAAGTTGAGCTAGATGATCTTTAATGCTCTTCCCAAATCAAAAGGATTATTTACATTTAAGTACATGATACCTATTATATACATAAAAGAAAGATATCCCTAATTTCCTCTATTCTATTTGGTCTGCTCTTAATAGAGATTAATGTGGAATTTGGAGTTAATGACATTAATCATAACACTGTTTCCAACAACTGAATGTTTATCTGATCAGATGGAGGAGTGCCTCTTCTTATATTCCATTTTTTAAAAATTGCTTTTGATTTTCACTTTATTTTTCTTTTTTTTTTTGATGGGGGATAATATTCTTTCAAAATAGCCTTCTGAAATGCAGCAATAGGCTATCTTTACAAGTATGTTAATGAAATCTCCAACTGTAAGTGACTCTATCAAGGATTAGTACTTGTTCCCTAGCAGCCAGCTTCCAAAGACCAACTCAGAGGACAGGCAGTATATTCCAAGCATTGAGGTACTTTAAGCCAAAACAATTAAGCTTGAACATACATGGTCTTTAAAAATAAATTATAATGACTAATGTCTAGGTTTCAAGTCCCTCCCAATATTTATAATAGGTTTGCCATAAATTTTCTAATTGAAAATTCAGGACACTCTTAGTGGATGGTTTTATACTTTAGCAACAAATTATTTTTTAGATTTTATTTTTGGATCGGACTCATGAGTATTCACACATTAACAACATCCCACCAGACACTGGACTGTCATCATGTGTACAACAGAGAGAATATGTTTTGGGTAGGAAAGAGTCATGTTGCCCAGTGAAATAAGAGCATAGTATTATTTCATAATGAATATAACCACAAGGCAGTCCCTCACCCTCTCAGGGTCTCAAGTATAATAGGATTATGCCATAAATGTGGGAAAGGTAATTTTTGTATTGTCAGATCTCTTTGCATAATACATGAGATTAAATTAATGGTAAGTGTGCATGGTCAGTGGTACTCATTCATCACCCTGGATCTGTTTCTCATATTAAATACTCTTAAGCAGGAGCTTGAAGCACAGGGGAGTCAGAGTTTTAGACTTGCAAAGACACAGCACCTCTCTTGTCTGGCATAACATCTGCAATTTCTACCTTTTGCATGTAAAGAAAGAGAAATTAAGCTGAAAGAGCACCATAACAGCAGTCTCTGGAATATCCCAGCTTGTTGACTCATTCCATGAAAATGAACAAATTTTCAGTTACAAAACCCTAAGACAGAAATAAAAAATCAGTCTTATGGTCCATATGCTGATGAAAGGAGACTAAACTTTTACTTCCACTGGAATCATAGTATAAATAATTTGAGGGAATCATCACTTCACTGACTCCTTCTCCTCCCCCTAAAGGTACAGTTTACTGTAATAGAGGAAATGTGGATCTCCGCAGTGGGTAGTCCCTTCTTCTCACTGAGCTGCCAGTTTGATCTGCAGTCAAACGAAAACATTTTTGAACTGCCTCAACTGTGATGGGGAGGGTACTGGAGCTAGTTAGAGGGAAGATGGTTACACAGAGGTGACTTTCTGACTGCTGATTTTCTTGCTATAAAACTCCTTGTAGGTAATATGGGCTGAACAACAGTATGAAAAAGAGAGAAGTAAACGTTCAGTTTTAAGAGACTCAGCACTAAATCTCTTCAACGATCCAATGTGGAATCAGCAGTGGTACTTGGTAAGTACTTACAGAAGGACTGAATAGGATCTGGGCTATTTATTTTGTTACATCTGCAAAATAGATTTTTTAAAAAGATAGACAATTCAATAGAAGGCCAATTTACCTGGAGATTAGAGCTGATGGGAACTTCCATGATCTGGATCTCCTGTTTTACGAGGTGGAAGTGTCTGAAACACAGATCTTAACTGCTATGAGAGGAAGGATTGTTACTTTTCTTCTCTTAAGCTTATCTGGAGCAAAAGCAGAAGAATCATGTCTTGCAAGAGTTCCAAAACAGTAATCATCGCAAAAATCACATTTGGTCAGAGTTACTCTTGAGAACCTTTAAATCATCCAAAGGGCACAGTGAACATGATTCAGTATATACAGCCCTGAGTGGCAATTCTTACATGCCAACAAGTGAGAATTTCTGAACCAAGGAACACAAGGAGAGACAAAAGTCATCTACATGCAGATATGTAGACTTGCAAAATGATTTACTTTTAAGATACCATATCCTCATTGATATGTGGGCATTGAGTAGAGAAATTTTTTTAAAAAGATTATTTATTTGAGAGAGAGAGAGAAGAGAGAAAGAGAGAAAGCACAAGAGGGGAGGAGGATCGGAGGGATAGAGAGAAGTAGACTCCCTGCTGAGCAGGGAGCCTGATGTGGGGCTCTATCCCAGGACCTTGAGATCATGACCTAAGCTGAAGGCAGATGTTTAACCGACTGAGCCACCCAGGTGCCCCTGAGTAGAGAAATTTTAAGTGCTCTTTCTTGCCTGCAGAGTCTTGCTCCATGCCTGTCTCCCTTCCATTTTAATATGAAGCTTCTATGTCAGTAATACATGTTTATGGAAGTGGTATTTTTATTGAGAATACTATAAAAGATAAATTTTCATGACAACCATGAGCTAAGGCTTAGATATCTTTGTTGCATAAAGGATGGGAAAAGGGATCAATTCCTCTTGACATTCTCTTAACCTAGGCAATACTCGCTCATTGCAGTAGAAGAGACTCATTAACATTTGTGTATTGACTATATGTCAAATACTATTCTAAGTGTTTGACATGAATGAACTCATTTAGTTCTCACATCATATTGTAGATACAATGAGTATACCCATTTGGTAGATGAAGAGACAGAGACATGGGCAAGTTTAGTAACTTGCCAAAGTCATCTGGTTACCTGTGGTAGGGTCATAATTCGTGGCTCCAGAGGTCATACTCTTAACCACCACACTGTGTGATTGTTCTTGCAACTGACACAGAGGCCTTCTCTGGCTTTGGCCAGAAATCGATGTGTAGTTCCTACCTCCTAAATCATTTAGTTTCATGTTGGCCTAGTAAGTTCCTTTAAGAGTTTTCCCCTACTGGGGTGCCTTGGTGGCTCAGTCTGTTGAGCACCCAATTTTTGGTTTCAGGTCAGATCAAGATCTTATGAGTTGTAGGATCAGCCCTATGTTGGGCTCTGTGTCCCGTTGAGAGCCTGCTTGGAGATTCTCTCCCTCTCTACCTTCCCTCATTTTTATGTGCTCTCTCTCTAAAGTGAATGAAGGCATCTTAAAAAAAAAAAAAAGAGTTTTCCCCTACTTTTTGAGGAGAATCAGTCCGGGGAAATTCATTCATTGATACTTTAAGCTGTTATTATTAATAAATTTCTTACTGTCCCTTTCACCAGAAACTGGCACTTTTCTAAAGCTTCTCCCTCAAATGCTTGGAAATGTGCTCATCTCTCTATTTCTTTGCTATCCAGCTCTTCTCACTTAGAGTCCCACACACTGTAACTATCAGAAAATTTATCTAAGAAAACTTCAAATCCCCTCTCATAGATATTTACTCTCTTAAATCACTCATACTTGGAAAAAAAAAATACATCACTCATACTTGGAAATAGGCAATTAAATTGCAAGTCCTGGTGAGAAGGCATCCTCCTGAGCATTCCAGGTTCTGCTTTTAGAAAAGTTGTTAAAACATCCATGAATGACTACGGACCAGACAATGTAAAGTAGGCTCAGTGTGGCAAGGGTGGCTCAGGATTTGGGAAGAGATGGGAACATGCAACGCCAAATAAAACTTTGGTAGATAAAAAGCTTGAGCATGTCATTATAAATGAATGAAACTTAGGGATGAACTTCTTAGAAGCTATGTAGCTCAGTGAGAAGGGGCACAGGGTGATTCATCCTTTCAAGTGATTTTCCATTGGAACAACTGGGAGAGAACAGCACTCTGATGATTCACTTGGCTTTACCATCAACTTTGTTTTTTATTTTACCTAATTGCTTTCTTCTAAAAAGTAGAGTGACCCTAGCGGGGGGAAAAAGATGGGTCTCCAGACTTGAGCTTCGGTTCTTATTTTGCAGCAAGTATATCATGGTTTTACCAATTCTTTGTTTTTCTTTACCAGCAAGATACTAGGATGACTGCAGCCCTGCCCAAACTGGATCTCCATGTGATACCTGTTTGGCAAAAAGGCATCACAGGCAAAGGAGTTGTTATCACAGTCCTGGATGATGGCTTGGAGTGGAATCACACAGACATCTATGAAAATTATGTGAGTCTGGGCCCTCCCATGACTACAACTTAGGGAGATGTCTACAAACACACATAGTTAAGGCTTTCCTTTTCTCAAGTGGAAGACTGCTCTGATGTTGGCCTCAGGAATTAGGGCCAAGGTCTTTGCTCTTTCCTTCACCCTCCTGCCAGCAATATGAACTTTTTTGGTACCGTGAGCACTGAAAGAATTCAGTGGAGCCAAGGATTTCACAAAAGCGCGTGTGTTGAGGAAGTGGGGAGGCACCTATACCAGCTAAATTATTAAAAGCCATTCAGACTCTACATCACTTGGTACTTGGGGGCATTAAAACAAGCAAATCAAGAATAATGCCTGAGATCATTTTCACAGTCTTCTTCCTCACATCCTTTATAGGTGAATATCTCTGACATTGTGAAATTATGTGAACGAGATTCCTTCCATACAAATTCAAAATGTACACCCCGTGGTGTAAAAATGGCAAGCTGAGAAAAGAAATGTTTATTATGAATGGAAAATAAGTAAATGATAACTGCTTGTCTGTTAAGTACTACATGATATCTTAGGCCTTTAGATCAGTGTTTCATCTTTAAGGTTGTCCCTCGTCTTTCTCTCATCCTTTCCATTCCTTCAAAATTCCCCAGCTAAAGAGCAAAGGATAAGGGAAGAAAAAGAAGAGATTAAAAAGATTAATAGAAAGTAGGAGTTATTGAAAGATGTGGAAAATGTAGAGAAAAATACTGGTTAGCAGAACTCCTATGTGGGAGATGTTTAAGTGGAGCAATCTGTTTGGAAAAGGAGGTGGGGCCTAGAAGCTTGTCTTCTATTTCAAGCACACTCTTTTTAATTAAATTACATGTTTATTTCATGTAACTGGAAAGGCTGAAGGAGATCACTGCAGACCTGAGCCCCACCCCACAGTCATCTATTTGCACCTATAATTGTAAGAGAGATGAGTATTCAAGTGTCACTAACTAGCTCTAGAGCTTAGTTAAATCATTCAACCTCTCTGGGTCTCAGTTTTCTCTTTTAAAAAATGAGGTGGTCGAACTAAGTAAACTGTGATTCCTTCTGGTTCTAATATCCTATGAACTTCAGAGGTTTGCTAATGTTCACTGAGAATTGGATGATTGCTCACTTTTCTGTGTACATCTTTTATGCCTGGTTTATGGGTATAACAATTGATCAACAACCGGGCCAGAAACTCTGAAATGCAGATTTCTGAGCTATCAGCCAGGATGGAGGGAGTAGGGGCAAAAGGCTTGGGAAGTGCTACTTTTTTTTTCTTTTTTAAAATGATGCTACATGGTTATTTCTATTGTCTCTTTAGGATCCAGACGCTAGTTACGATTTTAACGATAATGACCATGATCCATTTCCCCGTTATGATCCCACAAATGAGAACAAGTGAGTAAATATGGATTTGGCGGGAATATGTACTTTAAAATGCTTTTATCTTATTTGAGAAAATTACACTATAAACATGATCCATATTTCAGCTCTCAAGAGAAGTTTTCATGCACACCATCTACACCACAATATTTTGTTGCTTTTAAAACAGAAACCAATGTTTCTATTTTTATATTTCTTTTGGCTTCCAGGACCACATTTCAATTAAACTTTCTTCTTAGGTTATGCAATGCTCCCCTCAAATGGTGCTGATAGTTATAGCTTTAGAAAGAATGTTTGGGTCTTAAAGAGCAAAATCCTACATCCCATCTTCTCCAACACCAATTCCTTTATGAATCCTTTCCTATTAGCAATTCCTCTATGAATCCTTTCCTATTAGCAAACATATTTGATGTTAGTTGTGGAAATAAAAATAGATGACAAAGATAACAAATTCCCATGACTTCTTTTGGTGGCCACAGCCACGCTCACCATTTCCCTTAGAAAAGTATGGCCAGATACCAGACAACAGAGATGTATTCTGAGGCCTGGCCCTCAAATCCAACGCATTTTCTGGGGGCATTGGACAAGTCAGTAGTCTCTCCCCAAATTTTTGCTGGGTACTGTAAAACTAAAGGGAAGAGAAAAAGAGTATCTTCTGACTCCTGATTCTTGCTAGTAACCACAAAGTGTTGAGGGAGGCCAAGAGCCAGAGCTGACAAAGCAAGAGGCCAAATAAAGAGCCAGAGGCAAGAGACTTTTTAACCATTTTTTCCTAGCTGCAAAGAAACTTCATCCTTTAGCCACATGGTCTCATGTGAGGAGCCTTCTTTTACAATATCTTCCATAACTTCAAGAAGACTTCCATACTTCCTTCTTCATTGTCATTTTCTTCTTCATTTCATTTCTTCTTCTTTCATTTCTTCTTCATTTTCTCCACCCAGACTTGCCCCAGAATAGATCAAAACCAAGGCAAAATTAGAGCTTGTTGTTACAATTGGGATGTAAAGATTCTACATAAAGGGGTTCCATTTTCTCTCTGTATGGCTTTCTCTCTCTCGGACTATTACCCAACTTGGGTCAACTGAATTCTCTCCTGCTTGCTCTTTTTCTCCCTCCTTCCCTCTTCCTTTCTTTCTTATTCTCACTCAGAATTCCCATGTGGTTGGTGGAGTAATGTTGACCGGAAGTTATTTCTTTGGATGGTTTCCCCCTCCAGAAGGACAAAAAAATCCGGAAGAGAGTTGAGGCTCATGCCCTTAGCCTCAACTTCTGCATGTATATTTCCTCCTTGGGGAGAAAGGGAAGCTTGGGGAGGGTTCCAAGATATTGCTTCTTTCTGTACCATTTACTTCTAGGGTTTATTTCTTAAAGGGGTTAACTAGAAACAATACCTAGAAGTTCGAATACTCCAGTAACAATACAATGAGAACCACCAGGGGGTGCCCTTGAAGGAAACTGGGATATCTCAGGAACTAATGGCAGGAGCCCCAGACAAATTTTCAGCCATATTTGTAAGTCAAGGCAGTGCAGGGGCAGGAGGAATGTGTGCTCTTTTGGAGCTTGACCTTGTAATGTTAGCCAGGCTGGTAGTCATGGCTTTGCCAATTATCAGTATAGAAGGTGACCTCGAGAAATTCATTGACCTCTCTCCCTGTCTCTATTTTTCATTTTGTCTCCCAAAATGGGTGATAAGGCACTTGCTCTCTATCCTTCTGAACAGAACTTCTAAGGAAATGGGCAATAAGTTCTTAGAAGAAAGGGGCAGTTTATTCTAAGAAGTTAGAATAAAATAAAAATGACAACTTTCATTCTGTCCCCTTGGTCAAGACCAAAAGAGAAATCTGCTCTCAGCTGGATGGGTGCAGCTGAGGATACTATTAGCTGGAGCTGTCAGCCTTCTTCCTAGGCCGTGTCCTCGAGGTCTGGCCCCAGGATCCAGTGTGGATGATAAATTGTGTGGTGGCTGCATGATAGCCAAATACTTGATAAAATGATAGTCTCAAGAGTTTCTCTACTCATGAGAAGGAGGGGCTCAGATTTCCCTTTCTTGTTCCCCCTCAAAAGGGGAGTCTTCTATCCAATATTCATAATACTGGATAGCCAATTCAATAGCCACATTTCCCTCAATTTACAGGGCTCCAAAGCCTTCAAAGAAGTAGCTCATATAATGGTACTTACTTTGTGCCTGAATACACTGAGTTTCCAGAACAAAGCCTGCCATGGACCTCCCACATAGTGTCCAGTTAGTGTGACACAGACAAAGAGTTAGGAGTATAGTATAGGCAGCTAGATTTGGGTTAAATATTAGCTTTACCACTTTAAAGTTGGGTGACCTTGAATAAATTATTTAACTGCTTTAGTGCCTCAGTTTTATCATTTATTAAAAAGGGATAATAATAATAGCTACTTCGTTGGGTTATTATGGAGATTAAATGAGTTTATATACGTAATTAGCTTGTATAGTATCTGGTACATAGAAAAAGTTTTGTTTGCTATGGTGAGTATGATGATGATGACCAAGCCTCTTCATTTAGCAGCAGAGACAGACCTCCTTTCACTAAGAAATCAACATGACAAGAATTACACCATCTGAGAGGAGCAGTGACAGAGACAAGTCCATTTTCTGAGCCAATTCAGAATCTGCTCTTTGAAAATTACACAATAAGTAACTACCTCTCAGGGTCCTCTTGCCTATCCACCAAAAAAGGAGCATCCCTATCATTTAACAAAAGGTAAAATAAAAAATAGATTTGCCCTTCTAGCATGTGTCAGAAATAAATCCCCTAGGTTTAGAAAATGAATGGCTCCATTTTGTCTTGGGCTTTATAGCAGTTAGAGACCTATTATCTCCCAATTCCAAGGGCATTATCTCTCCAAACTATCTGTGTTGCTGCTGTTCTTTATTACTATGTAAATGAGATTAATAGAAGCTGCATTTGAATTCTCCTCTGCAAATCAAAAAAGGAATCACTAAATAATAAAATCTCAAAAGTGCAGGTAACTCTTACTATTAAGCTGGCATGAATCTATATTCAGAATTTCAATACCAATTACAGATTATTTTTCTAGTTAAATAACACGTGTGACAAGGGTATTTTAACTAGGATAATAGTAGTCTTTAAACTATCTTGTGGAATAATTTTTTAAAAATCAGTTTGTTTAAATGCCAGTTACTACCATTGTTCTAAAATAATAAAGAGTTCTTTTATCTCAGAGCCTAAGTTAAGGAAAGAAAAAAAGCTGCAGGTCTACAAAGAATGACATAGTACCACTTTGATAAAGCCTTCCGTTTTTCTCAAGGTGTGGGGGTGGGAAGTGAGGGTAAGAGGAGGGAAAAGTATCAATCCTTTTTTGTACCGTGATCCTACTGCACCTTTCAAGAAAATAATTTGCAGTATGTAAAGAGTGATAAATCACAGGTGTTGTCACTTTGCATCATTCTTAGGACAGAGGTGCTATCTGTCAACAGTTTGATTCTATTGGCTCAGGCTGGACATTCTGCTATCCTGGCCCTAGGGAAATGGAAATAGAGGTGGTGGTGACTTCTAGAAACACACTTTCTGGAGGGTGACAACTCAGTTTCTCCTTCTACAAAAGCAAAGAGAGTTAACCCATCAAAGAAGCATAAGGCTCCTTTTATGAGCTCGATGTGCACACAGTTCTCAGAGAATGGGTGTGTTAGTCAGGGCAGCTTAGGCTGCAAGTGAGAATCCTAATTCAAAGATGAAGTAAACTGGAGATTTAAAAAAAAATCATCCAAGGGATGGTCTAGCTTCGGGCTTTCCAAGATCCCAGAGCTCAAATAATATGCTAGTAGGACCTTAATCAGTCTATCTCTTAGCTGCTTGCCTCCAATTAGCTACATTGTTAAAAATAATTTTTTTTTTTTTTTGGCCTGGCAGCAAAATCCACATGGGTCACATGGAACTTAAAGCTGTACATTCTTTTTTTTTTTTTTTTTTTAAGATTTATTTATTTATTTATTTATTTCATAAAGAGAGAGAGATCTCAAGTAGGCAGAGAGGCAGGCAGAGAGAGAGGAAGAAGCAGGCTCCCGGCCACGCAGAAAGCCCGATGCGGGGCTCGATCCCAGGACCCTGGGACCATGACCTGAGCCGAAGGCAGAGGCTTTAACCCACTGAGCCACCCAGGCGCCCCAAAGCTGTACATTCTAGAGAAAGAATAGGATTCTCTTCTCCAGAATATGCAACAATCCTTGAAAGCTGTCTGGGAAGAGGAGGCTCATGACAGAATCACAAGGAGTATGAGAAAGTACTTCCCTAAAGGAGGAAATGCTAGGAGAAAAAAAAAAGAAGAAGAAGAAGAAGAAGCAGATGTCTGCTACATTAGGAAAGACCTTGAATTAAAAATAATTACATTGTTCTGACTTAGGATTCCTCTCCAGTATTAACATGAAGAAATAGAAACATCATTTAGCAAAAGGAGACCAAGAAATCATCTTTAGTACTTTAGGGAAAAAAAAATGAGAGAGAGAAATGAAACAGAATTATTTTGGGTAGTCAATGTAGAATTTGTATATTCCTGCTGGGCTAAATTAACAGATGTCTAGTGTAGTAGTGCCTAAAACTAGGTGGCTGGCAGTGCTGCTGAGAGCTAACTCTTCCCCTCTTTCCTATGGCGGCTCCTGCAAAGCACCAACAGCCTCTACCCTGCTCCCAGGGGCTTCCACTACGGGATGAAGCCATTAAATAAATTCACATTAAAGTTCTCTTGACTTACTGACCTTCTTAAGGTCAGGGGGTGGTGGGAAAAGATGATTATCCTCAGATTTTCAGAACTGATGCTTTGATGGTGGACTCTGCTCTGTTTTAGAGATGGACTTTTCCCTCCAAATACTTTGAAACCAGCAATTATCCTCTTTGCCTGATGGCAAAACCAGTCTTGTTCAGACTTCTGGCCCTGATCAGAGTTGCAGGACGACCCTGGTTTCCCAATTAGCTGGTAGTGTCCTGTGAAAATTTCAAACTCCCCCCGGTACCAGAAAACCCTCAGTTGCTTTAGTTTGGTGGAGGATGGTTAGAGTGGGGGGAAGAGGGCTTGAGAGGAGAATTCTAATCTACTTATCCTGCTAGGACTGGTCCAGGATAACCTACTTCAAGGAAGTCACTAGACAGGGATTGAGGAACAACTTCACCAAAATGTATGGAGCAGAAGCCATTTCTCTGAAACAGTACACTAGCCACCACTCCAAGTTCTCTACATGCAATATGGCATGTGTTGTCACAAACCCCCGAGGACAGATGACTTACTCAAGGTCACACCACTGGTCAGGGGCAGAAGCTGGAAAGTGAATCACATACTTCAGCTCCAGTTCCTGTATCATCTGATACCTACACTTCATCTAAAACTGTCGGGCAGGAGACCAGCAATAAGGTTGACAAAAAATTAGTATGGCCACGTACCAGGGACTCATGTGCAAATGACAGTTGCACTCATTCCTGTTTTATAATTCCTATTTTTCATCTTCAGACATGGGACCAGATGTGCAGGAGAAATTGCCATGCAAGCAAATAATCACAAGTGTGGGGTCGGAGTTGCATACAATTCCAAAGTTGGAGGTAAAGCGGAGGGTTGCTCCTAGAGTTTTGAACTTTTTTTTGTAACACCTGGTGTAAATGAGGGGGGAAAGAAGGTTTTCAATAACCAGAAGGAGAAATGAATTCCATGTAACATGTGCTGTAGGATTTAAGTGTGATTTGAAAACAAATCAATGGCTCTGGATTCCTAAAAAAATGATAGCTGAATTTAGCCTATACATCTTCGTGGGGAGAAAAATGGAAATGTTGAAAAGCTTTTGAACCAAAGCTAATTTTCTCTGTGTGCTAATTTATAAGGGTTTGTTATTGAGTGCTTGCTAAGGGAACAGAAGGAGGAGGTAAATTTGGGCAAAGACTTTCCCTGCTTCTCAATTCTCTCATTCTTCATTTCATAGCAAATAATGGTCTTAAGAAAATAAAAGAATGCATACTGGTTACATGAAGAAGCCAAAGGTTATCTTTGACAGCACAGATTTAAAATCTAGTAGTTTCAGTCAGAGTCTTTGTGGAGAAACATATGGTAAATTCCATCGGGGCAATTAAATAGAGGAAATATTTACAAGCCTTAAGGGAAATTATCACAATATTATACACCTGAAACTAGTATCTCTCCCCTTTTCACTATCCCTATCTTGGGCTTTTACAGTTATGCTAGCAACTTTGCGTTTAGTTTGTTTTCTAACTCTATGCTAACTAACTGGAATTAAAATTAAAAACTTAAAAAAATAGTAAAGGGAAACCAACAAGGGCTAACAAATGAAAACAGACGTAATTATCTTTAGGCCTAAAGGAGCAAGAGGAAAGAGAGGTCAGTGGCAACAGAAGAAAGTTGGGGCCATGAGAAAGAACCACTGGACAGGAGCTATGACCTTGAGTGCAACAACAGGGCTTCCTCTAGGCGACGAGGATCCCAGCAAATGATTACCTCACTCTCCTCTCATCCCACACCCTCCTGCTACGGTCTTCAGTTGACTGATGCCCACGGGAAGACAAGAGAACCCATTGACCCAGTCCATGTTCCTGTGAAGATGGGTGGACGGTGGACCAGCAAGGGCTCACATAGAATATAATCATTGTCTCTCCTCTTTTCACTATCCCTATCTTGGGCTTTTACAGTTATGCTAGCAACTTTGCGTTTAGTTTGTTTTCCAAACTACAATTAAAAAGATCAATTGTAGAATATGCCAATGATAGTAAAACTCCTTTAAAACTCTGCACAAGTATACATTGGGTTTGATTATTATTTCCTTTTAAGAGATCAAATAAACACACATCGTGGCACATATAATGAATCTCTCCCTAATACAGCACACTATTACATTTTGTGTCTTCCTGATTTCTGTGATACCAGCATTGTCAAAATGCTGTGTTTTTTCCCTTTTTTTAAAGCACTATGTTAATTAAAAAAAAAAAAATGAAGGCAGAAGCACAAATCAGGTAATCACCTAGAGAAATACTTCACCTTTTAAGTCATGATGAACTAGCTATAGTTTGCAAGAGAATCTTCTGATCCCTTCATTTTATAGAGAAGTAATCAGGAACAAAATTCTCAAGGTAACAGCTGGTTTGTGGCAGTGTAAGTGTAGAAGTAAAACACAAGACTTCTGATTCCATGTCCGCTGAGACTTTTTCATGACTCCACCCTTTGATGGTCTAGCCCCAAATGCATTTTTTAATAATACGTTTCACTTATTAGGCACCACTGACTCTACAACACATTACATGTGGTGTGCTCTAAGTTAACAGGCGGGATTTGGTTGTTAAATTTCTGGGATTCAAGTCCGAGCTCCCCAGTTTCAAGTTGGGTGGCCCTGAGCAAGTCATTGTCCCTCTCTGGACTTATAGTCCACCTGTAAAATCGGGGAAATTAGGACATCTACCTCAAATCATTGTCCTAATGATAGAGGAATCTGTATGTTTAAGGCCTTAGCATGGTCACTGCATATAGTATATCCTCAATGCACATAAGCTGCTACCATCCCCATAAAGACTGAAGAAACTGAGGCACAAGATGTTAAGTGGCTTGCCCAAGATCACACGGCTAGTAAGTAGAGCTTGGATTTTTTTCTTTTTCCCAAAGTAAATTTTTAACCAGTTTTGTTTTGATCAATATGAGTTTCGCTAATTATGTTAATTACATGTTCTTTTACCTATGCTCCATAGTAAATAATAGCGTGCAAATATGAGGCTGTGCACTCTACTACATGATCAGTCTGAAGCCAGGAATAACCGGATAGCTGTCTGTATTTGTCTAAATTGCTTTTGCCTTCCTGGTTCTTGAATACATGAGTCTGATGACAGGTGACAGCCTGTTAGAAAGTACAAAGAGCTACCGCGTCTGCCTTCTCCTAATGAAAAATGATTCCCCCTCAGGAGAAAAATCCACGGCAATGATTTCATCCTTGAGATTATTTAGAAGAAAAGGAAGCATGTTCCTTGAAAAGGTTTCTCACAAACACATAAAAGAATGGCCTCTGGGTTATTTTTAATCAGGGCTCAGAAACAAAAAGAGTTCTTTCCCTATTTGCTAGTTTCCTATTGTGGGTAGATCTTTTCAACCCACACAGTGTCCCAAACAGAATCCTTCGTGTGGCACAGGCTAGGCAACAGTCTTTCGTGGTATAGTCATGAACAGAGGTCAAGGGAGGGTTGTTCAATGCCTTTTTTCAAAAGCTGTCTTGTCATTTTCAGGCTGTTGGGACAGCAAAGGGAGGGAAGACATTTTGTAATCAGTACCAATCATGGTCACTGCTTGTGCATAGAGTTATCTCTAAAAGGGCAGATACCAAAGCTTATGGAGGCAGTGACTTGTATCTTCCGTCTGTGCTCATAGCAGCCTGATCACAGGCACTTGAGATCCAGTGGTTACCCTGTTTTTTACTCTTTTGAGAGTCTTCTATAAAATGAATATTAAGAAAAATAAAATTAATATTAAGAGCATTACACAATTCTACATGTACATGCTGACATCCACTTACGTGTTTTTTGTCTGATTTACTGTTTAGGCATAAGAATGTTGGATGGCATTGTGACTGATGCTATTGAAGCCAGTTCAATTGGCTTCAATCCCGGACATGTGGATATTTACAGTGCCAGCTGGGGCCCTAATGATGATGGGAAGACTGTGGAGGGGCCTGGCCGACTGGCCCAGAAAGCTTTTGAATATGGCGTCAAGCAGGTAAGATGCTTAACACAGACCCACCTGAAGTGAAACATGACCATTTGGATAGGAAGGAAAGGGACAAACATTTAGCTTATATGAAAAGAAATGGCTTTGAATTTCTTGTCATTATTTACCATTTGAAATGCATTTAGAGAGCCAAATCATTCTTCAGAGGGGCAGAAGTTAAGGGTCCAGAGAGTTTTCCCCATTTGGGTCTGACATGCAACATAGATTCTTTACTCTTAGAATAGTTACTTTAAAGAATATTCTGGAAATAAAATTTTAAAAAACTAAAAAAAAAAGTAAATAAATCAGAAAAAGTTTAATAAAACAAATTTAAAATAAGAAATACTCTGGATAGGTCCTTTCTCATTTTCCTGCTGCTTTTGGATTTGTACACTAGGGAAACTACTAACCAGACTTCTTTCCAATCTTTAGAAATGCATCCTTAAATAAAGCTACGTGCTACTTCTCATTTTGTACATGCCAGGCACGGACTTGTGCCTTGGTGGTATTGCTCTGTTCACTCTACTCTTACGAGGATTCTAAGGCTTCGTTCTGCACAGGATCAAACAAAAGTAGGAACTTCGGAGAGCACAGACTGAGAAATCATAGAAAGAGTAGCCTTGACGAGTTGCATTCAGCTCAAGAGTCCCTTTTAATGCAGCTGCAAAACAGAACTGAATAATGCCTGATTTTGTCATTCTATCAGTCAGCCAGAAGACGCAAGCATCAAGAAAGAGAGGAAGTTCAAAGATTCAAACACGGTGACATAAGCCAAGGGAGGAGTGCAAAATTATGAGCAAGTGCTAAGGGCCAGAGTGCTAAGGGCCTGCCAGTGAGGAAAAGAAAGAAAAACTCTCCCTCAGACCCATGTCAGAGAGGACCCAGAGGAAGGTAGCCTGGTAGAGTCCCAGCCCGGAGGCTTCTTAAATGCAGCCTCATGAGCTTTCCCACAGGGAGGCCGGAGGACCCGACGTTGAAACCGACTCCAAATAACTATCTCGGAGAACCCCTTGCATGTATTTGTGGGGGATTTCACTGGGGCGTGACAGCGATCCCAAGAGATGACAGATGTGATCTAGTCTGGCTTTTCCTTTAGGGGAGACAAGGAAAGGGCTCCATCTTCGTGTGGGCTTCTGGGAACGGGGGGCGTCAGGGTGATAACTGTGACTGTGACGGCTACACGGACAGCATCTACACCATCTCCATCAGCAGCGCCTCACAGCAAGGCCTGTCCCCCTGGTATGCTGAGAAGTGCTCCTCCACCCTGGCCACCTCGTACAGCAGTGGGGATTACACCGACCAGCGAATCGTATGTTACTTTTGTCTGACTCCTCTGCTTAGGTAGGAGAGCGTGGCTCATGTCCCACAAGATCCTTGGGTCGGTACCTTGGGTAAAGTTGATTTGCTTAAGCTTGAGGGCTCAGCTGGAGACTCGCACCATACTCCCTGAAAGGCCGGTGTATATTGACAAGTTTTCTCTCTCAAAGGTAATGACGTCTCTGCCAAGACGATGTTGCCTGTCGTTTTTAAACTTGCCCCTGAGAAGCCACTAAGCTGTCATTACATACAGCCAAGAATCCAAATGTCTATTCTGCTTGTGTGATGCCTCCCTGAAAATAGCCTTAAAGAAGATTTCAGGGTTTTAGGGCCTGTCCCACCCTTGGACTTGTTGATCTTTAATAGCGGGGATATGGTCTGGCTTGCTCTTTAGCAGATGGTAAAAATACAGAGCACACCCTAGCTCCATCTCTTAATAATGGGTGACCTGCAGGAAAATAACAGTCCAACGTTCCCCCAAGATGAACTTCTTAGCTGCTGAATAAACAGCTCAGGAAGGTTATATACCCAGAGAGCATCTCTAGCTCACACTTGGCTGTGCCTTCTCTTCCATGAGTCAGACTGCCAAGGGCAATTATTGGATTTCCCTTGAAGAGCACATTGACGAAGGGTCATTCAGGGGATCTGAGAATGGAGAAAGGTACTTTTAATTCTAAAGTGTCCCAAATTTAACTCCTGATACAGAAAGAACCAACTGGCTAAAGCATGTAGATTGTAATCTCAGTGGAATAATATGTCATGATCCAATTAGAATGGGAGTGAACCCCATAATAGTTAGACGTTGGAATGTGTGTAAATGCCAATGAATGGCATCTCAGAACAAACAAACAAACAAACAAACAAAAACCAACACTTGTCAGTGCTCCTTTTCATAGAGGATCACTATTCTGGAACTCTGACTGTTTCTGTAACTTACTCTAGTTTAGATGGTAAAACACTTGGCTCAACTTAGAAGCACTGGCCTCCCTCTCATGCCCTTATATTCAGTTACTCAAATAATAGATGGTGATGTTCTACCCAGAAATTGTTTACGGCAGGCCTATTTGATAGCCTTTGAAGGAGGCCTATCAGACATTTGTTTCCCTTGTGCTCAGAGACCCCTGGCTCGTGTTGTCCCTGGGGGTATCTAGAGTTGCTTTTCTGAAAATGGCCTGGTAGACATTTCAGTCAGCATTTCACAGACTGGCCCTCAGCTGAGCTATAGCGCGTTGAAGCCAGAGGAAGTTTCCATCTTCGTAAAGCTTTCTCCTTAGGTAAATCAGCCAGCGGAGAAGACAGCTGGTGGATTCTATTTGAGATGCTGGCAATAACGTAGCCTTTGTCTTACGCAAACCAGGTCCTCGACTCAGTCAGCTCTGGGGGCTTACATGCGTCAGTAGGGAAAAAGGGCGGCCTCGCTTCCGCAGCCCTTTAAGGAGCAGTGCCACCATAACTTGTGAAATTCAGCGACTCCAAGTGGGAAGCCAAAGGAGGTGATAATAGAACAAATTATTTTTTTACACCTCCCTCCCACACATTGAAATCTCTAGCTAAAAATGATAACGCGGGAGCCCAGGTGGGTGTCTTGTTAGTAATCCTTTGGCCTGACAACTCGCTCAGCCAGCACCACTGTGGTCCTTAAGGCAGTCTGATTGGAAGTCTTTTTGGTTTCTTGCCTTCGATTTCATCAACCTCTTCATTAAGCTAAAATTAGCCCGGGTAATTCCTTATGTGCAGTAATATTGTGTAAGAATTCTTTCACAGACAGGATCTCATTTTGGCCTCAGCTTCTGAGTCAGGATATGTCAGCCTCATTCTACAGATGGGGAAACCGAGGGACGTGCCCGTGGGGACACATCTACTGAGTAGCAGTTTTACGGTTTGAAACCAGATCAGAGTCTAACATACTTTTCAGCTGAAAAACACCATTCTCACCGAAGTGCAAATATGGACGCTAACTCAGGGCCATCAAACTATGTCAACAGTGAGTGCAAACTACACACTGAACACATTTTGTGCAAGTAGCTCAAATGGCCCAAATCAGAGGCTTTCCACCCTTGTGCCAAAGAGGTAGTCAAATGTCAATTTCAAGGCAAAAGGGAATTTTGCATGAGGCAGAATTTCTAAATATGCCAGACGAGACACAATGGACCTGCTGATTAATGGGCCAGCATGATTCACAGCGATTTTGAAACTGTCCCTTCTTCGCAGACAGCAATTCGTTTGGGAATCTCAGAAGAGAAAATATTCATAGTGGGAGTACTTCATCCCCAGAAAAGGCAGCCTGATGCCAGAATTATAGACAAGTTGCATATAGAGGAGAGGGAACTAAAATATCAGCAGATGGCAAACATCCGCCTGTGGTTTAGAGGAGGAAGTAGGGAAGACAACCAGCTGAGTTTCCTGATCGTAGCAGATGCGGCCGTCAGTAGGGTTAACCCCCAGGGACAGGGGCACACTCCTCACGTGTTCTCCCGCATTTCTTTCCCTCCGGATGCTACCTAGACAAGTGCTGACCTGCACAACGACTGCACAGAGACCCATACGGGCACCTCGGCCTCAGCGCCCCTGGCTGCTGGCATCTTCGCTCTGGCGCTGGAAGCAAAGTAAGGCCCAGGAAACTTGTAATCACCTTTGCTGCCTTTCCTTCTTCTTATTAACAGCATATCTTGTTTGCTGAATTATGCTTACAATAGAAAACTTAGGACACGATAAAAAAAATCATAAAAACAAGTTCTCTTCCTTTTACATTTTAATGTAGATTTAACACACACACCTTACAAAGTGGGGACCTCTGCATACACATTGTCATTTTTAAATATCTATCCTATAATCTTTTAAGAGCATGCTCTCTTGGCTAAGTCAGTGTTTCTTGACCTTTACAAATTCACGCTTTCCTCCCAATTTCCCTCCCACACAGCGGCAAGGCCTTTTCACTTCTGTTTCTTCCCACCAGGAAAGACTTTGTGCAGATAACTTCCTGTGGGTAGTATTGGGAACAAAAAGCTTTTGGAACTTCCTTTTTTTTTTTTTTTCCTTTCAGATTATATAAACTCAGTCCTAGAGCTGATCTAACATATCAGAGGACAGGAGAATTAAAAACAGAATTTTTATCTTTTTGTAGTATCCCATTATATTAATGCAGATTATATTAAGGTCTTCAAATCCTGATTAGATGCCCACTCTTATCCATAAACATTGGTTGTCATCTCTGATAATTTCCTCAGGACAAACACACCTGATTAGAATTTCTGGATCAAAGGGTGTACATGTTTGTGTTTTTTTTTTTAAAGATTTTATTATTTGGCAGACAGATCACAAGTAGGCAGAGAGGCAGGCAGAGAATGAAAGGGAAGCAGGCTCCCTGCTGAGTAGAGAGCCCAATCCCAGATGCTTTAATCCACTGAGCCACCCAGGCATCCCAAAGGATATACATGTTTTAATGATTTTGGTACTCATTGACAAGTCACTGTTTAGAAAGATTGTATCATTTTATTTTCCCAACAGTGTATATGTGAAAGCACAAGTTTACTTACCAAAGTTACTTTTGTCATCTTTTAAATGTTTGCTATTGATAGGGGAAAATGGTATCTCAACTTTATATGCCTTCATTTCATTAGCAAGGAAGCTCAGTATCTTTTATTCTTTGGTCATTTGTCATCTGTGATTGCTCACTTATGACCTTGGTTTTTTTTTTTTTTTTTAATGGCCTTAGTTTGGAGAAGCTACTAATGCTTGGTTAGTTTGACATTTAACTTTTAATTTTATTTATGTCTACTTTTTATTGCAATGAAGTTAGTATATATATGGTTATATTTGTCCATACTTTAAGATGTTTTCCTTTGCTTTCATGCTTAGGAAAATATTTACAGTCTCAAATTTGATAAAACATTTATTTATATGTCTTTTATTATGCTTCATTTACCATATTTAAGTTTAAATTCCCCTGGAATTTTAGTGTATGATGTTAAAGAGGGATTTAACAGTATATTTAACAGTATTTTTTTCCTCATATTGGTTACCCAATAGTCCACTTATTGATACAGGGGAAAAAATTCTAACTGCTGCACACACTGTGTATCCACAGCTTTCTATTTGTCCTTGTTTTTGCTTTCTGGTGGTAAGAACACTTTAAACGTCAAGTCAGGCGTTATGTTTACATGATAGAGGAAGTAGTCAAATTTGTAAGTTACTGTTATCCTTCCTAATAACAGGGTTATCCTAGAAGAATATCTATATTCTTTAGAGAGAGAACAAAACATTCTCCTCATGTCATATTCAGTAGACGAGGTTGATAAGAGCAGAAAAGTGGAACACCTTAGCCTCTGCCACAGGTGGAAAAACCCTGAAGTTGCTAACTCTTTGTTCTGGAGAGTCCAACATAGATCTAAGAGCCCTGGGGCCACCTGTGGAGTTGTAGTTTGTCCTGGTGTCTCAGCCAGGAGATGGCCACAATGGCTAAGGAAGACAGACCTAGCAAGTTTTGTACCAAGAATTTACCTCCTTGGAGGGGCTGGGAAGATGTCTGGTAAGAGAAGAGCAAATCCAGTGACTTAGTCAGAAACAGGGATGTTGGCAGCTCTGGCCCAGCAGTAGAGATGTGTTCAGAATGTGAGTTCATTTGTAACAGGAAGGGAATGGACAGAGGGCAGAGTTTATGAACACAAGGGAAGATGGCCTCAGCAGATCCTTGAATTTGGATTCAAGGAAAAATAACTTAAGCACTCATAAGTGTGAGGAACAAATGACTTCAAGTTCTAGGCATATCACTAGCTATGTGACCTTAGGCAAATTAATCTCCAGCTGAGGGCTTAATTTACCATCTAGAAAATGGAGGGGTCAGAGCAGACCACTTTTTTCAAACCTCGTCGCTTTATAAGATTCTCTGATGTGATATTGAAGGTATCAGTGAATAAAGGTCATCCAACATGAATTGTTGAGTTTGGTGGAGAAAAGTCCCCAGTAGAAGAAAGTAAGGTTCACTGAAGGCAAGCAGTTTCATGCAGGTGGTTAAACAGTCTTACAATATTTATGATTTGAGGATATAAGCTATTAGTTCCAGGGAACTGTTGAAAAAAAATCCTTAAAATTTTAAGTCTTCTCTACCCAACACTTATCAGATGCATGTAAATATAACTAGCCACGCCTAAGCGATCCTTGTCTAGTGACCAGAATAATAGAAACACCCATCTCATGAACAGATGTAATATTAATTTAGTATAAGAACTGAAAATTTAAAATTGTAACCTCTGATTTCTAAAATTTCAAACATTTTTCTGTGCAGGGAGAAAATGAGCTAAGAATGATCTAGCCTTATTAACTCGGTTAATTTTTAATAGGTCATTTTTAAAGCAGGAGCTTCATGGATTGCTCTGAAATAACATGGGTGATTTTCCAGCAGTTCATGAGCTTCTTTGAAACTAGATGCAGAATGGCTTGTGTGCATGACATTTTTTCTGAAGGAATGGTCTATAGGGTCTATCGGATTCTCACACTGTTTAAATTTAAGAGAGATTAAGAATCCGTGATCTCTCTGGTACATATGATAAGAATTAATTCCTTTCTTTTTGATCTGAGCATCAGTAAGATAGATATAATCTAGCTTACATTTCATATACTTCATGCCAAAGCAGGGAGAAATTCTTGAAGTATCTGTTCTCAAATAGACGGTTTTCTGAACACTATTCAATTGTCTATATGGGAGATGACTATTCCAGAAACTCTCAAAGCCAGTTTTTCTAAAAGTGCCCCTAGATAATGAAGACTGGGAGAAATCATTTAACCAGGTGCTGCTCAAGGAACAACTATGGATACTGAAGAACAATGGTAGGCTAAATTCATCAAGAATAACAATATTCAGGATTAGTCAGGGTCTTCCTATGGGCTGGACACTGCGCTAACCTCTTTGTGTACAACACTAATTCAAATCCTTACAATAGCCCTGTGAAAAGGTTATTATTTTTTATTAACATATAATGTGTTATTAGCCCCAGGGGTATAGGTCTGTGAATCGCCAGGTTTACACACTTCACAGCACTCACCATAGCACATACCCTCCCCAAAGTCCATAACCCCTCCACCTTCTCCCTCCCCCCCGCATGAAAAGGATATTATTAGTTGCATTTTATAAAAGAAGAAATTGAGGCTAGAGAGGTTGCACAATGTAACCAAGACCCCACAAAGAGATGCAAATTCAGGTCTGTGCAAGCTCAAACCTGAGCCATGAGCTACTGTCCCTCATTGCCTCCCACAGCCCTGCAAGGGGGAGGAGATGCTGAAGGGCAGTCTATCATCCCCTCAGAGAAAGGGGCCTTAAGAAGATCGATGCTGATCAAGGACTGCCATGACTCGTGTGCTCCTGAGTTTCTCATAAACGGTTCTTTGTCACAAGCAGATTACTTATTATGTTACATTAAAGAAGACATAGCTGGAATGCAAGGGAATGGGAAGAGGAGAAGGAAGGAGAAAGAATGGTTCCTGGCTCAAATGTGTATAGAGGAATACTTTCCTTTCCTGGAGGAGTGATTCTTAATACCAGCATAATCAATCACCTTAGGAGTTTAATTAGTAGACAGACTCCCAAATCCAGTGCCAGCCACTCAGATTCACAAGCATCTGGTATGTGGCCTAGGAATCCCCATTTTTAACAAGTATCCCAGCCAGTTTCAATGCTAGTAGTACCATTACTAAATTCCAAGAAACAACTGCTGTAAAAAGGTTTTTCTATAATCTCATCCAGCTGTGGTTGTTAAGATGCTCGATAGGGCACTTAATAGGCATATTATATATATTTATAGATATATATAATGAGAGACAGGAATTCCTTGAACTAGTGACTCTGGCACCATTATTATTAAGCGGTCAGTATACTTAAGAAAGATAGCAGGCAATAACCGTAGTCTTATTGTACAGATGAACCAATTTTCTGTTTCCATGAAAGGCTAGAGGAAGGGAAATAGAATTTCAATGCTGCATAAAACCTTTCGATAAAGCACATCAAAGAAATCCTTGACTCAGAGTTGTGCAATGTTGGCAAGTCTCCAGTTTAGAAAATCTTTAATATCAAGGCTTACTTATAGGTGTTTAGAGGCTGAACCAGGTAGCCTGTAAGATTTTTCACATTAGAATTTTGTCTCCAGATTACTTTACCCACACTAATTAGAAGCAATGCTTAATTTCAATGTTTAATTCCATAACCCTTATTTTCTATAAACATATCCTTGATTAGCAAGCTAATGCAGTTTTAAAAAATTTAATTATTGTGGATGCTGTTGAGCACTAATTAACAAAGGAAGGCTGTCAGGAATGGGATGCACTATTGTTAGCAGCTCCTTTTCATTTCTGAAATGCAATCACACAAATGAAGAATAACTCTGTTAGGAAAACAAGCTTAATTTTCCTAATTGCATGACAATGATGCTCCCTTGAATATTTTGCAAAGAATAGGTAAAAGAAAATAAAAATAATAAAACCTGCAACTAAATATAAAGTAAGTGTTCTTCCATAGAAAGTCTATGCTTTGTATTTGATTATTATAACTCTGCCTTCCTTATGCCACCCTAGTACAATTCCTCTTCCCAACTTCCATATACACACCTGCTTGCCCTGATGGTCCAAATGGGAAACTGATGTTTCCCATTGACCACATTGATAAGAGGCTTTTACCTAAAACTTCCTTTAAAAAACCGGAAGGAAGCAAGAATTTCAATAAAATGCTTCATAGAACAGAATTAGTTTCTGCATTAAGAAAATAGCCATTTCTGTTCAGCTAGTTAATTATTCCTTAATGTGGGCTGGCCAACATGGAAACACAATCTAAATGAGGTATTTATGATATTGGGCAAATAGAAATCTCGATTGTAAAGAATTCTGAAGATTATCATACTCAACCCCTTCATCTTACAGAGGAGTCACCCCAGGCCAAGGGAAATGAAGTGACTTGCTTAAGATCACATAGGTCTTTGGTAAGATATGGTTTGCTGTGCTTTCTATTACTCCCTATTCTGGCCTCATGATTTGAAATCACTTCCAATTGTCTGAATTGGTTATATGCCTATATGCTTTCTTCCAACTCCTATCATCTTAGCTATGACGTAGAATTGGCTAGATAGTTTTTTGAAATATAAATATAAAAATCATGCTCCATCCACAGATGTTTTGACACAATAGGTTTAGGATGGGATTTAGGAATTTTCACTATTTACATGATTAACAGGTAATTATGATGCAAGCCATCTGGGACTCTTAAGTCTATGCACTCTATCAGTCATTCCCCAGAGTTAACTGTTATGTTTGTCAGGGGCTGAGATGGAAGAGAGAGAGAACTAGCCTACCAAGTATCAGAAGAGCTGATTAAAGCAATAAATCAGAAATCAAAGAATTAAGCCTTTGTTAACTACAATGTTTTAAGCAAGAGTCAAAAATCAGAGATAATGCTGACGCCCCCCACCCCATTCCATTCTCCCCCATGGAAGAGTGTACAGTTGAAGGGGAGGTTGAAATAGTGCAGACATGGGGGTCATGTCACTGTTGAGGGAACCCCAACCGAAAGCCCTGCTAGTTGTATTTACTCTGGGGTGAGGCAACAGTGAAGAATGAGAGGAAGGTACAGGGTACTGAGTCAGAGTGGGTAGAAGTGTCTTCAAGTTCTCTTCTTCCTTTCCCCATAAAGAGGCCTTGGGCACAGGCAGACACCTAAAGAGAGCCTCTGCCCACCACCTTAGATAAATGAAATGAAGGCACAAGGGGTGGGAATGTAAATACGGGACGAGCTTGACTGGGTAGGGGGCCTAAGTCCTTGATGACAACTCCTTCCACAGACTACAGTGCATGGGCTGTGCACCCAGGCTGGCATGGGGAGAGCAGTTTCCCCAGAAAGCCTCCCAGGTAGAGCCTTTGTCATGCTTCTGAAGAGATCTGAAAATCACATGGGGGATTTTAACCAGAAACCAGACTCCTCAATGTTTAAGAAGGTACACTGCCTCTTTTTTGTCAACAGGGATTGCTTAACCAGCACATTTTGGGCTCTGGGGGAAGAGAGCAAATGGAGCCAGATTCCCCTGATGGTTGTTACACAACTTAGTGCTAAGATGGAAAACCTAAAGACTACACACTTGGGTATTTATTTATTGAATAATACTTGATTGGCTTGATAGAAACAACACAAGTCTCAAAGCTAAGGAAAAACTTGGGATCTTGAAAGAATCTAATGACAAATATTATTAAGTTTTAAAATTATTGGGGACACCTAACACTCAGGCATATTCAGTCATTCAACCAACCAACGTTTAATTCAGCATATACCCTGGGCCTGGCATTCTTCTGAATGGTACACACTGGAGAATAGATAAAAATCCCAGCCCTTCTTACAGCTAATTCTAGAAGGAGAGACGGATGTTACTAATATAGGAAACATATATATGAGTTGCACAGTAAGTTGGATGGTGGTAAATACTATAAAGAAAAAAAAAAAAAGAACCAGGATAAGGGAGATCAGGAGTTTGTGAGGAGAACTGAAATTTTAAATAGAGTGATCCAGGAAGGGTGCATCTTCATTTTAACAGATCCAACATTCCCAAGTGTCTCTGATGTATCTTATATTGCTGATAAATTAATCTTACCAAGATTTCTGATTACACCATTTCTTGTTCAAAAATCCTTGATTCCCCATTGCCCAAGGGATACAGGGTAATCTCCTTTTCCTGGCATGCAAGGTCCTCACCATCGGGCTCAGTACTCTATCACCTTTTCCCTGCTCCCACCAACCAGACTACCCACTGTACTCCAGCCACATTCTACACTTTCCCCCTTGTAGGTTTTGTTCTCTCTTTTCCATCTCCCTTTTCCATCTCTCCACTCCCTGACATTCTACCCAATCTTCGAAGTTCAGACGGAACACTTCCTTCCAGCAAAGCTTTCCCAGATCTTCCATCCCCAGAATTCTTCCTCCTCTCTATTCCTGTAATATATGACACCATGAACACAGCAGTCAGCAGATACATTAGAGTTATACAAAGGCTTAGTTCCTCTGCTGGATTGTAAGCTTCCTAAAGACAAGAAAGAACCACCTCCTTCAATATCCCCAAAGTATTCAGTGTAGTACCTTGCAAGAGTGATCTCAAGTAGCTAAGAGTTTCTTGACAATTTGTTTAAATTTTTAATTACTGGAATTAGTTGTAGTCTACATTAGAACTACATTAGAATGTCGTTGATGTACAGTCTTATATGAGTTTCAGGTATAAAATATAGTGATTCGACAGTTCCATGTATTACTCAGTGCTCAAGATAAGTATACTCTTAATTTTTATATATAAGGAAAAGAGGCAAAAGGATTTAAGGATAGGTAACCAGACTGTGTCTTTAAAATCTGAGTCTTCCTAAGAAAAATTCAAGGCCTCATCTGTGGGTACATAATGTTGAAAGTACCAAGGCTGTTAACAGATAGCAGAAGACTGAAGACATAAAGGAAGTGTTGGCATTTAAAATTTTTGTTCATTTAAATTTAAGTAATTAAAAATCAGGGGCCAAATCCCACATTTCTACTATATTGAAGACCAAATTTTACTCATAGTAGGAGCTTAACTTAGATGGGAGAAGTTTTCAGTATATATTTTAAATTCTGAATGAAAAGACATTCCAAAAGAAATACATACCAGAATTATACAAGTACACTTGCAAAAGGCACTTTATAATCTGTAAATAGAAGATGCTTGTTTCTAACACTTAATTTTACAAGGAAACATTTTTTTGTCCCTGAAAAATATTCTGGGTCACTTCCCCTCCAGCCCAAATCTCACCTGGCGAGACATGCAGCACTTGGTTGTCTGGACCTCTGAGTATGACCCACTGGCCAATAACCCTGGATGGAAAAAGAATGGAGCAGGCTTGATGGTGAATAGTCGATTTGGATTTGGGTTGCTAAATGCCAAAGCTCTGGTGGATTTAGCTGATCCCAGGACCTGGACCAGTGTGCCTGAGAAGAAAGAGTGTGTGGTAAAGGATAACAACTTTGAGCCCAGGTGAGTGTTTCCAGGATTTTTAAAGAAATGTGTACCCATGGCAATATTTGATTATAATGTTTGTCACCCTGTCTATGTTTTTTCTTACCTACCCTTCTGAAGCGGATGGAGATAGCATTTGCCATAGTTCCCTGTGGGTCCATGGGAATCACTGAGAGATCGGAAATCTGCAAATCATGTTAGCATATTGCCCTTTTCCATTTCTTGGCCTACATATATTCAGGTTAAGATGTATCGTTGTTTTATATATCACTAAGAAAAATCACTGCCAATTAAACCGTTACCAATGATCAGTTTGAAGATTGATCCCAAATTCAAAGATATTAAGATAATTTTTTTCAAAAAATGCATCTTAGAATTGACTAAATGCAATACTTGCCAACCAGCGTTATCCCAAACCTATTTCCAGAAGATCCTCACTTCATGCCACAGTACTATGTGATTCATGATTTCTCTTCTATGAGATATCCTCTACCATACTGCTTTTATGGAGACTATATCCAGCCTACCAGATCTGGCCACAGAAGCAGAATCTAGAGTGACTGTTTTGTTGATTCCATCAAGGCAACCATGATTTTACTAAAGACCCACTCACACAAAGTGCCTGAGGGTGGGAGCCCTGGGGTACAATCGTTATGGAGATAGTATCATTTCTGAAGAGGGTAGATTAGAGCAGTAATGGACCACTTTTTGATGGGTTCAAGGCAAACCTGCCATTCGACCCCACAGCAAAAAGTATTGTATTCTTGTATCTGTGTTCCTTAACACCTTCTTTTCTATTCTATCTTATTGTGGTAAGAACACTTAACATATGATCTACCCTCTTTAATCTTTAAGTGTACAACACATTACTGTTGATTCTAAGTACAGCTGTTATAAAGCTGATTTCTAGAACTTATTCATCTTGCTTAACTAAAATTTTATGTCCATTGATTAGTAACTCTATTTTCCCCTTCCCCTACCCCCACGCAACCACAATTCCACTTTTTGAATCTACAAATTTGACTATATGAGATACCTCATGTAAGTGGAACTATGTAGTATATCGCTTTCTGTGGCTTGTTTATTTTACTTAGCATAATGTCTTCAAGATTTATCCATATTGCTGCACATTGCCGAATATCCTTTTTTTTTAAAGCTAATATTCCATTCCACATCTTCTCTATCCTTTCATCTGTTAATAGACACATCTTAGCTATTATGAATGGTGTTGCAATGAACACGAGATCCTAAGATCCTGTTTTCAATTATTTTGGATAAATATCCAGAGGTGGGATTGTTGGATCTCTTTTTAAATTTTTTTGAGAAGCCTCTATACTGTTTTCCATAGTGGCTGTACCACTTTGCTTTCCCACTGATTGTGCAAGGGTTCAAATTTCTCCACATCTTCTCCAACACTTGCTGTCTTTTGCCTTTTTTGGTAAGAGCCATTCTGATAGGTGTTTGGATTTGCATTTTCCTGATGATTAGTGAAGTTGAAAATTTTTTTTTTCCATGTCAGCCATTGGTATCTTTTTTTTTAGAGAAATATCTATTTAAGTAGTTGGCTCACTTTTTAGGCAGGTTATTAATTTTTTTTTTTTTTTTTTTTTTTTGCTATTGAGCTGTAAGAGTTCTTTATGTAGTTTATAAATTAACCTTTTATCAGATACATGGTTTGCAATATTTTCTCCTGATTTGTAGGTTGTCTTTTCATTTGGTTGATGGTCTTCTTTGATATGCAGAAGATTTTTAGCTTCATGTATTCCCAATTGTTTTGGTTGCCTGTGCTTTTGACACCTTAACCATGAAATCACTGCCAAGACAAATGTCATGAAGCTTCTTCCATATGTTTTCTTCTATACTTACAATTTCAGGTCTTGTGTGTAAGTTTTTACTCCATTTTGAGTTGATTTTTGTATGGCATTAGATATGTGTCCAGTTTCATTATTTTGCATGTGGATATCCAGTTTTCCCAGCACCCTTAGCTGAAGAGACTCCTCTTTCCCCATTGAGTATTCTTGGCATCCTTGTTGAAGATTAGTTGACCATATACACATGGGTTTAACTCTAAGTTCTCTTTTGTTACATTGGTCTATGTCTGTCTTTATGCCAGTACTGTACTGTTTTGATTATTGTAGTTTTGAAATATATTTTCAAATGAGGAATTGTAATGCCTCCAGTTTTGTTCTTCTTTTTCAGGGTTGTTTTGGCTATTTGTAGTCTTTTGTGAACCATAAAAAGTATAGAATTTTTAATTTTTTTATTTTTTATTTTTTTAATTTCTATAATAACCTGTTTATTTTTATTTTTTATATTTTTATTTCTGTAATAACCTTTAGCATTTATATTTTATAGTTACTTCTGAATTGGGTTCTAGTCATTAACAGGGAGAGCTTAGCTAACTATCTAATCAAGACTAATGTGTATATATTTGCCTAAAATGCAAAGAAGAAATGATGTACTTTATTCAGTAATTAAAAAAAAAATGTATTTAGAGCCCTGAAAGGTAATGGAGAAGTTATCATTGAAATCCCAACAAGAGCCTGTGAAGGACAAGAAAATGCCATCAAGTCCCTGGAACATGTACAATTTGAAGCAACGATTGAATATTCCCGAAGAGGAGACCTTCATGTTACACTCACTTCTGCTGCTGGTAAACCTTTTAAAAATATCTCGTTTATTCTAAAGCATTTGTTTACATTTTTAAGAATATATTGAATGAATTTAAATCCATGGTTTTCTTTTTATTTATATTACTGAGTTTCCCAATAGATGTTTTTCAGGGCTTAAAAAAGTGTGCCTATTTTTCATTTTTCTTGGCATCAGAACTCTGCCTACTCATTCCCACTTGTCCTTTGATAAGCAGAGAATAAGGTATATTCAAATAATATCAATTAATCTTTCTGGAATTATATATTTTAAAAATGTTCTCATTTTTATCATTCATTTAATATCATTCATTTCTCTTAGGTAACACATTAGTGAAAGTTACTCTGATAGTTAATAATGCTGACAGATATATCAGACACATCTTAGATATCAACTGAAAAATTAGGAATTCTGATCCACGAAAGAGGACTGAGAAAACTAACAAATAGTCCATGATGATATTGTAAAGGCCATACGATATTATATACAGGCAATTACCCTTCCCTGAGAAAGTACTAACTCAGATGAGATCATGGATGGGGAAGAGCTTGTGAACCATGAAATATAATCCAACCAGGAAATGCTTCCTAATCCTCTTTCATGTTTTAGTAGGATTCACCTAACTAAAATCAATTGCTATAGGCTACATATGAGGAAGGATGAGCTCTCTTTATCATCTCCTTCCAGGATATAAACTTCCTAGAGGTTTGGACTGGACTCTGTTAATTTTGGAGTAATGCTTTCTAGATATATTGAAGTTGGCCTGAAGTATGGGTGGGATGTTTTCTCATTGGTGGCCCTAGTATGAATTTGACCGTTTCATTTTGAGATATATAGAGAGAGCTTAAATTTGAAAACAGGTTTAACAATTAGTACTAATACTAGACAGGAAATTACTAAGTTGATATAGCTTTATTTTTTTAGGTCTACACTAAAACATATTTTAGATCTTTGACTCTATAGTTTATAAATGTAGTTCTATGGATTCTCCTTATTCAAATAAACCTTAATCAATATATTCATTCAATATTTTACCAAAATATTTATTGAGAACTTATTATATGCCAGGCAATATGCTAACTGCTATGGATAAAAACATTTTTTTAAATGAATGTCTCTATCCTGCTCTTATACAAAAAGGGAAAGTTAGGGGGGCTAATCTCTCCCATTTTTCATTTTCAGTTAGCAGATGCTAGAGTTTATCCTATTTTTAGAGTTGTTAGGACATTCATTAACTGATGTTTGCTGTATGAAAATAGGGACCAGCACTGTACTGTTGGCTGAAAGAGAGCGGGATACATCTCCTAATGGCTTTAAGAATTGGGACTTCATGTCTGTTCACACGTGGGGAGAGAATCCCATAGGTACCTGGACTTTGCGAATTACAGACATGGTAAGTATAAATGAAAAGATAGAGGACCGCAGGCTCACTTTCAAACATTTTGAAGTCCTTTAAGTTTCGTATCATCATTCATCAAGGCCGTAAGGAACTCTGGTCACTCCCTAGTAAAGTAAGGAAAAGGTGTCGTGTTTCAATCTCTGCCCACTTAGCTCCTTAGATTGGTTGGATCGATTGACTAAATAAATAAATAAGACATATTATAAGAAAGAAAAGAAGATACATTGGTTAGTAATATTACAGTGTGACAAATCCAAGTGTTCCAAAGTCAGAATGCAGCCAGCCCCATGACATGCTCAGCCACCAGAATCACCTGTACTAACAAAGATAATGAAATGCTACAAAACCTTTGCTATGATATTCTGCTGGGGTCACACGAAGAAATTCTTACCAATATTTACTGCAGTGCTATTTACTAGTTGGACAAGGTATCTTATTCAATATGACGTCTTTGTTTTGTTTTGTTTCAGTTATGAAACAAGCTGAAAAGCATTTCTCATTTCTCTTTCACTCTGTTTACTAACACTCTTTGGTATATTTCTAAAATTGTAACTCACAGTGACAAAAATAGAGTAAGGAGTATCTGAACAAAAAGCCAAAAACATCTGAATTATCTACCTTTGCATCATTTCTCCAGCATTTTTAACAGCCTGAGCACATTAATGAATAGGGCTCTGGTCTGACCTTTCCCAAGATAGAAGTGTTACAAGTATCAGCACTAGATTTCAAAATCTAGATAACTATTTAAAAAGAATTGATTTTAAATTTCTGAAGATCTCCACTTAATTAATACAGATTCTATAATCATTGTTCCTTTTATTTGAGAGTACCTTTCTCCTAAAGACTGCTAAAATTGTAATTTAGAACCAGAATCTGTAAAATTCCTACTTCCTTAGAGAGAGCAAGAAAATATTCTTAAGAAGTGGTCCTATTCTTGAACTTGACCTCTGTTCTTTAACTCAGTTTTTTTTAAGGTTACTTTATTTATTTTATACAGAATGAGTGAGCAGGAGCAGGAGGGGCAGTGGGAGAGGAAGAGGGAATCTCAAGCTGACTTCTCAGTGAGCATGGAGCCCATTGTAGGGCTTCATCTCATCACCCTGAGATCATGACCTGAGTCAAAATCAAGAGTCAGACGGTTAACTGACTGTGCCACCGAGGTGCCCCAACCCAATTTTTAAGAAAACTAAGAAAATATGTTTATCAAGATGAGACTATTTTATATCAAGTCTATAAAATCTGACTTTACACTTGCAGACTTTTTTTTTTAGATATTTTACATTTCAGCATATTATTTTTAGCATAATTGTTGAGCTTCTGAAAATCATTACTGTTTCCATAAATATACAGTTTTTAAGGGCTGGTTAATACTGAAGGCTATTCATAATGCTTGGTAGAGGCTTTTTTCCTCCCCACTGGAATGTTTCTACAAGTTGATAATTATTAAATATAATGCTATTTATAGAAGGTAAAGTCAACTTTCCAAGAACAGAATAGAAAAGAACATTCATGTAAAGAGTTCTGCTTTTTTAATCAAATGAAGCAAATAATCATGCTTTAAATCCTTCAACCTATAAAATGCCATTTTTCATGGCAACAGTAAATCCAGTGACTTGCTTCTGTGTACAGAGCGCTCTACCCATGGAATGTTCTGAATTTTTAAATTAGATCTTAATAGTTATTTCTAAGGAGTTTGACGTTTCTTAGAACACATCCTAAAATTATGTGTATGCTTATTCCTTAGTCTGGAAGAATGCAAAATGAAGGAAGAATTGTCAACTGGAAACTGATTTTGCATGGGACCTCTTCTCAGCCAGAACACATGAAACAGCCTCGTGTGTACACTTCCTACAATACTGTTCAGAATGACAGAAGAGGAGTGGAGAAGATGGTGGACGCAGGGGAGGTCTGTGGGGCTCTGTACCTGAGGGTTCTTGGCACACTCTTCTTTGAACCCTAATCAAAATGTAGTGAGGGGAGCTAGATCTAACTTTCAGGCAGGGAGTAAATCAAACATGGGTGGAGAGGAAAGGGAAGGGAGGGCTAAACCATTTTCCATAAAGGTCTAATATTTCTTAAGTTTATTCTTTTGTCCAGAATTTAGAAATTAAAATTGCTGAATTCAAAATTATGAAATCCTCTGACATGACTTTTCTCCGTTTATGACATAACAAATTATAAAGACGGCTCTCTTTATGCACAATCACACATGCCTAACATCTGTATTACACTTGGTTTTTAAGTTTTTGATTTGTTTTGTTTGTTTGACACTGTGCCATTTCATCAGTGACCCCTCTAACCTAGAGAAGGTTAGAAGGTTAGAAGGTTAGAAGGCATTAGTATGTTCATTTTCCAAAAAGAAAAACAAGGCTCAACTAACCAAGTCTTATAGGCTTCTCTTTACTAATTCCTTAGCGGACATTTCTTGGCAGCTCCAAGGGAAGCTACTGAATCACAATTTCTCTGAGAAAATTTCATAGGATAGCTAGTCAGTCATTCCCATTCCTGTCAGTGTCGGCTCACTGAGGTTGCTGGCTTCTCCCTTATCAGACAGTGGGCAGGCATCCCATTTTCTTTATCTTTTAATCACCCAGCATCTAGCACAGAGCCTCAGATGTAAGAAGTAGGTTATCAGAATTCCCAGAATGAGTTTTCCTGACGTCTGACTCAGTGATGGGTATTTTGGAAGATACAAAGACATAATATTTATTTAAGAAACTTATAAACTAGCTGTGTGAGGTCCTCAGTTCAGATTCTGCCTCCATTTATATCCTGCAAAGTATCTCCCCCCTGTTCCTTCCCCCCTTTCCAAGGACCTTCTCTTCACAATCCCAGAGGCAAGCTGACTTTGTGGGTATTTCTCCCTCCAAGATTCCTTAAGGGCTATTAATAAGACATAGTAGTTGTGAAAACGTTGAGATACTTCCACAATGGTTGACAAAGAGCTTCTTTTTTGCTCTATCCAGTTCTGCCCTAGCCAGTCCATCACCCTAGTCTCTCCCAAGACCCCTTTTTAAAACTCAGGGGCTGAAAGGGTAGCTCCTGACAGAACAAGAGGCCTCCAGGAAACTTCTTCCACATGCAGCACTGTTAGTGCCTTCTCTGGGACTTATTAAATATTTTAATATATCCCAAAACATGGGCAGGGAGGAAAGGGAGTAGGAATGGTCAACTATTTACTTTTCATAAGATGAAGCTATATTATTTAAAAAATTTTTTCCTTTCATCCAAAATTTATAAATTTAAATTAACAAATTCAAATTTATTAAATACCCTGAAATGAATTCTACTACAGCAGGCTGACAAATGAAGGAGACCAATACATACATCATCTCATTCAGTCTTCAAAACCACCAGACATTAAAGTATTCTTCGTCCCATTTTATAGGCGAAGTTCAGAGAGATGAAACAGGTGTCAGGGGTATCAGTAAGCACAAAAATTAAGACTGATCCCTGAGTCAGTATGTTTCTAAGCCTCATGCTCCCTCTGCTTCTCCAATGGTCTCCCATAGAGAAGGCAGTAGGCATGGGCCAAATCTGGCTTGCTTCGCTCTAAAGAGGACTTTTCTTCCTTTTGTCGGTGGCATTCTGTGTTTTAGGAGCAGCCCACGCAAGAGAACCTGAAAAAGAACCCCCTTGCATCAAAAAGCCCCAACGGTGGCAGTTCCGGGGGCAGAAGGGATGAGCTGGTGGAGGCAGCCCCATCGGAGGCTATGCTGAGACTCCTGCAAAGTGCTTTCAGCAAAAACTCACCCCCAAAGCAATCACCAAAGAAGTCTCCAAGTGCAAAGCTCCACATCCCTTACGAAAATTTCTATGAAGCTCTGGAAAAGCTGAACAAGCCTTCCCAGCTTAAAGACTCCGAGGACAGTCTATATAATGACTACGTTGATGTTTTCTATAACACGAAACCTTATAAGCACAGAGACGACCGGCTGCTGCAGGCTCTGGTGGACATTCTGAGGGAAGAAAATTGACATCTGTGTGTGGTCCTGAGTTGGAAATATTCATGCTTCCTCCTTCCCCTTAGATTTTTGCCTGTGTCTGAAGTGGTTGTTTTTGCCATTGGTTCTTATGCTTATAATATCCTTTGGTGGTACTTTTGCTTTTGCTTCCCAAACTAGACATGTAAAAGGGACGAGCTCAGGTTGAAAATCCCACTTCTGAATTGATCATGGCTCCTTCAAAACATATCTTCCCTGCGTGCACAAGTGAAATGTTTTGTTCTTTCTGGAGCCACAGTTCATTTTGCTTATGGTCCTCACACCGTACTAGTATGCCTCCTTGAGCCCTCCCATTTCATTTCTCAAAAGAAAAGGCATCCCCTGGACTAGGGATTAATTTGAAGACGTAATCTGCAAAGAATGAGAGCAAAGAAAACTGCTCTTATGACTTGTCCCTTGTCTTTGCCACATGGTTCTTTGAACTGTGATGCCCAAGTGGGTTTAGAAAATTTCTAAGTGAAAGAGTTCACAATTAGACCCATTCCCTTGGCTTTTCTACCTCCTAGTACTACGCATTCAGGGAGTGGTCATTTGGCCATTTTGGGAAGAAGGAGAGTCATCGAGATCCAGAAACAGTCCTCGAAATCTGTGTTTTTGAGCACTTTTAGACCATTTTTCTTTGCTTGGTGAGCCGTGTAGAGGGCTCTGTAACTCTAAAGGTGTCCAGGACCTGTGTGTGCTCTGTCCCCTTATGGAGGTTTCCCCTTATGAAGGTTTTTGTTACCATTTCCTTTCTCAGCCACAAGCTGCATACTGAGAGAACTAATCCATATTACTTTCTTAGAATAAAACTTACACTTGGGACTTGGCAAATTCCTAGTCATATATTTTTTTTAATAATACTAACAGGAAACCACTCACGACACAGAGAACCAACGTAAACAGGAAAATATTTATAATGGGGAGATTTTTCTTTTAAATTATATTCATTCGAACAGGTTTTTCTGGATCTTTAAGACTGGGTGTTCATTCCTTGCCACTGAAGGCTCTTCCCCAATCTCACAGCTGATAGTGTTCAATTGTTTACCAAACTGCTTCCAGGATTTAACTCAAGAGGCCACAAACTCCAGTCCACAGGTCCCATTTGTCCCTCAGGTAGATTTTGTTCAGCATGTCAAATGATTTCAAAATGTGAGTGATTACTGAAAATATGAAATTTCACATAAAGTTTGATTCTCAGACCCATTTTTCCCTCCTGGCAACAGTTGGCTAGTGCTGCATAGCAGCTGCCCAGCCAGATTTGAGTGCCGGGTTCCCGATGTGCCCCGCTCCGTGTTGCTCACTGTAGCAACCTCAACCCTACCGGTCGCCACGCAACAAGCATTCCATTTTTCCCACTGCTGCATGAAACAACACATACAAAGTGTAAATGCATTCAGAAAAAAAAATCATCTACTTCTTTCAGGTAAGATCTGTATAATCAATAACTATGAAAACTTGCCATGATGATCCGGTTAAATTATAGGTAGAGAAAAATGGCATTTGAGACCCCTTAAAGTACCTCTGAAATCCAGTTTGATATATTTGTTTCATTTCGCCTCCCCTGAATACCGTTTATACCGAATTCACGAGCTGCCAACCCCTAGCTTCCCAATTTCTAGGCGCTCACAAAGGCTCCTGTCACCTACAATGCCGGCATTCTCCCACTGCATTTGTTGTTCCTAATTCTTTCGTAAAGTTGGAACTTCAGGATGCTACAGATGAACTAGCAGAAAAAGAAGACTAGAGTCTCTCACTTGCTATGGTTTGAAGTGTGGTGGGTAAGACCAAGCTTCACCTCCTAGTCTACCACTTGTATTTGTGCACAAGAGGAGTATCTGCAGAGCAATCCCCGTGATGCTTCAAGGATGTTTTTCTCAAACAGCTGCAGTATCGCTCTATCCTTAGAAGTCTCACATATTGTTTGAGACAGAGTGTTGGACAGAATTTTGAAAATTGCAGCACATCAAGAAGTATTAAAGCCAGAAAGAACCAGAGAGTTATTAGTTAAGTTGTCAACTAAAAAAACAAAGCTAAGGCCCAGAGAGGCCAATGAATGGTAATAAACAAAAACTCTTCTTTTCCCCTTTCCTACTCTCATGCTCACTGTATGAAGCTTTCTTTTTTATCCTTCTAACGTATCTTTTCCTGGTTAAGATGCCAACCAACGCATTGGATTGTAGCCAAAGTTTCACTCTAGAGAAGCTTTAATATTTAAATAAAGTCATGTTTGAATGTTTCCAACCTGGAGTATATTGTTCAGGCATAATATATTTTTGTCAGTCTTTCTCAGTGCCTGTGTGGATTTTTGTGAAAATGTAAAAGAGGAAACATATATAATAATTCCCTCGGAATTTTAAACTCTATTTTCTTTACAGGTATTTATAATGTACCAATGCTTTTATCAGAATTTTAAAAGGCATAATAAATTATGTTAAAGAACCAAAAATTTCCTGAGAATAAGAAAGTTTCATCCAATAAAATATTTTTGAAAGGCATGTTCCTCTGTCAGTGAAAAAAAAAGTATAACATGTATGTGTTGCGATATTAAAAGTGACATTTGTCTAAAAGCCTAATACAATGTGTAGTTGAATTTAACATGTGTTGTCTTAGCATTTTTAAGGGAACTCTCGCATTACACATTTGATGTATTAACCAGAATATGTAAAATATGCTTATACATAAGAATAAATGGTTTCTCACTAAGTCAAAAAGGAAAAAAAGCTCATGTTTCCAACAAAAACAAGATCCCCTTCTCTTACTGTGTTTTCCAAATGAACCGTAAAAAAAGAAAAGTTGAGGGTTTATATTAAGATGCTAATTTCTTTTGAGAAAAATGGGCTTTCTCAAAGGCAATTTAAGAATTTACCTTAATAAGTATTTTCATTTTCCTTCATAGCTCAGTCTTTTACTTTTTTCACAACATCCAAAGATATAGGACTGAGCCTTCACTGAAGTGTTGAGGAAAAAAAGAACAAAAACTAAAGGACTATGTGTGAAAGGACTTGCAACAGTTTGTAAAAAATGATTTCTTTATAGGCCAGCTACAGTAGCTCAACATTTGACTCTCCCCAGAAGCCACTTCATCAGAAACTTCCAACTTCCAACTTTGATCTCCCATCCTCAGGTCCACATCCCTCTCCTGCTTCAAACCTCCATCGCTAGAATGACCACCCTACTACTTCAGAACCTGACCTCTTCCTCCCAAGGGGGTTGGTTTTTCCCCAGACTCCATTCCTTTCTCCCGAATCATAAATACTCAGTCAAACTAAAATAATTTTTTCAAGAATTCCAGAAGAACACTTCTATCTGGCTTTTGTCCTTGAAATCCAGCCATCTTCAAAGTCTACCCACTAGGAGAGCTGAAGATAGCTCTCTATTTTGCTTTGAATGCACATGAGGTAATTTTTTAGATTAGCCATATGCAGGCTGCAAGTACAAATCCAAATACATATGAAGATAAATGTTAATTCTTAAATACAATTTCAAATCCATAAGGAAGAAGAATAATGTTTTCCTAACCGCCTCCTAATTTTGCAAGGCTACAGTACTAATACACATGATGATGATTATTATTTTCTCCACTCCCTCAACCCCTGTGGACTGGGTGTAGTTTCCTGGGCCATCTATGTTGAGCTTGACCCAGTGATTAATTTAGCCAATGGATGTGATGCAAGCAAAGACCTTCAATTTGCCTGCACAGTTTGGCTTGGCTCTTGCTTTTCAGTGTTCCAGTGCTATGAGAAGAGTAAATGCCTCTGGGAACTACTGTCCCTACAGCCTGTTTCCAGAACAAATGTATATGGAGCAGATTCACAATATGGAACCAAATCCAGCCAACTCACAGCTGCCTAAATAAGTTGCACTTGTCACCATGGCAACTTAGGACCATGAGAATAAATACTTGTTGTAAGCAACTGAGTCTTGAGGTAGTTTGTTATGCAGCCTTACTGTGCCAACAAAACTGACTATACAATAAAAGTTCCATTTGTACATTATACTACCAATACCATCCATCCCTTTCAAATTGTGCCTTCCTGAGTCTAGAGCACACGCACAAAAAAGAGCTAATATTAAATCATACACCTTTTAATGTTGATCCCATAGCTAAACAAAGACCTTGTCCAAACTTTAAAATTGTCATTTTTAAAGTTATGCCTTAGCTTAGTTCATCCTGAAACCAGAGCTAAGATAATGAATGATTTTTGTATGGGTAATTTATTTAGGAGGTAACAGTAGAGAGCAGAAGTGACTCACACATACCTGAGAGTCACATTAAGTGACACTGATCTAGCCCAGGACTTCCCAAAGACTAGAACTGATGTTTCAACTGATAATATCATCGGTAGAAGATAATTCAGAACAGACACCTATGCTCTCCTTACCCCCCCATTTCTACCCCATCCAATGTCTTGATACTTCCATTAACCTCTCTCAGAATTTAGATGCAACCCCAGGGCAAGGAAAGAAAATTTGATTGGCTCAGATCAAGTTTACACTACTTATTAGAAAGGCAATGCTTAACAGAAACAAAGATCTCTCATAAAAAAAAATGAATAATTTTTACATTACTTTTTGGATTGCAATCTGTGTATTTATAAAGTCTGCATTACCTAAATATTGCTACATATAGATATTATGAAAGCATTACTCTATCATCAATTAATGACAAGGAGTTGACTATAGTTATTAGTCATAGCATGTCTGAGGGAAGCAGAAATCACATTCCTGGTTTCTTTTTTTTTTTTTTAAGATTTTATTTATTTATGAGAGATTGAGACAGAGTACAAGCAGAGGGGTGGGGCAAAGGAAGAGGGAGAAACAGACTCCCCACTGAGCAACGAGACTGATGCAGGACTCCATTCCAGGACCCTGGGATCACAACCTGAGCTGAAGGCAGACGCACTGATTAAGCCAGCCAGGCATTCCCACTTTCCTGGTTTCTATGCTGAGCCTCTACCAGGTGTGTTATTTCCACACAATCTGCAGCCTGG